AACAAAAGAAGCAAAAACAAAAGCACGGAAATTTGACACGCTGGACAGCCGTTTATTTGCACACTTCTCGAATGTTCCGTGCGTTTAGCGCCAATTTCATATAAAGGCTGACGGTATCCCATTACATGCACCACCTTTATTTCGCAGCTCATACAGTACAAACAAAATTAAATATGCAATTTTTGTCAACTTTTGGAGTAAAGTAAATATTATTACACACTTTACAGAGAAGCCCAAGTTTTTATCGGTTTTGTTTATAAAATAAATTTAAAGCATTCTCTTGAGTATGTTTTTAGTGGAATAGTAAATCTCCATAAAATAAATACTTTAGGTAATCCATCACTTCCGAAATAAAACAGTATGTGACGGTGATTAAACATTTTGTGTTTATATTTAATGCTTTACGAGCTTATGATACATTTATAATGCTTTTAACGGATTTATATGCGTTATAATTAAGTCATCTAGTCAAAAATATACATACTCTGAGAAAAAACAGTAAATTGTGTATATACTAGGGTGCTTCAAAAAATAATATTTAATATTTTTTTTCGCTCTTACCCTCTCAAATATAAAAAAAATCGTCACCAAATATGGGCGTTCCAGCTCAACTCCAAGAGGTCGCTGTTTTTATTTCAGTTTCCCATTTAATTAACATGGGAAAAAATAATTTTATGTTTAAAATTTTATACCTCTGTATCAAAGTAACTTATGGCAATGATCATTGCAGTTTCTATATAAAATGTAACGCTCTACAAAAAAGCTATCTTATTATTTTTCGATAAATTGATTTCTTTTAGAGTTATTCGAGGTCAAAGTTTGATTAACATCAAATTTTCTGATTTTTTTATTTTTTTAAGCACCCTAGTATATACATTAGACTGGTTCAAAAAAATCGAATATTTTTTTTTCTTCAAAGCCCGCATTAAAATATTTTCCTAGTAGTAAAAAAAGAAGGCTGTGAAAATTGTAGCTCTTAATATTAATATTTAGAGGTCGCTCATCGTGAATTTCTATTTTACGTTTAAATAACACAGGAATTCTTTTTTCTTAACTTTGAAATTTTATAACTCGTTTTTGAGTGAACGTATTGGAATGAACTCTATATATTTTTGAAGTTATAAAATTAAAAGTTAAAAAAAATTCCTGTGTTATTTAAACGTTACATTTATTATATGTCTAATTTCAACCTTGAATAACTATTAAAGGAGTGAATTTACGAAAAAATTATAAGAGACATTTTTTGTAGAACGTTCAATTTTCTTCAAAAATATATAGAGTTCATTCCAATATGTTCACTCAAAAACGAGTTATAAAATTTCAAAGTTAAGAAAAAAGAATTCCTGTGTTATTTAAACGTAAAATAGAAATTCACGATGAGCGACCTCTAAATATTAATATTAAGAGCTACAATTTTCACAGGCTTCTTTTTTCACTACTAGGAAGATATTTCAATGCGGGCTTTGAAGAAAAAAAAATATTCGATTTATTTGAACCATACATATGTATAGAAGAAAAATTTGTCATTTCAATGGCTTTCTATAATTAATGGAAGATTTTGCAAAAACATTCTGTCATTTCTGTAGGTATTACATGAATGATAAAAAAATCTCAGTATCATTTTTACAAGTAAAGGGGTTATTCTATTCTAGATATTTATATTCTCAGTGCCACATCGTTCTTTTTTTTAGCACGTTAAGGAAGGAAACGTCATTTTTATGTTCTACGAAGACATTATTTAAGTAAAAATCGTAAACTTAAAATGCGGTAATAAAAAATGATATTATTTTTTAGGGACACTAAAAAGGCGATTTTTTCGGGAAAACTTATAAAGAAGAAAAAATTAATAAGTTGGTGGAACACCTGAAAGTAAATTTTTTTTTAAAAAATTCCATTATTAAAATTTTTTTACCTTTTTGAATCAACATTTTGTTAAATTTTTATAAGGAGCTCAATGAAAACGCTTATAAATGGATTTCTAGTAAATACTTTAAAAAATTAAAAAAAAAAACATTAATAAAAAAACACAAAAAGTTCTTCCCATACCGGGAATCGAACCCGAGCCTCCTGGGTGAAAGCCAGGTATCCTAGCCACTAGACCATATGGGATATATAAAATTGTGTATTAAATGCCTTATAAAAAATGCACCAACATCAATATACAAAGAGTTGTTTTTACATTCTAGCAGTGGCGGATTGTGGATTTTAGGTAAGGTAAGGTGGGGTAATTGCGATATGTTTTTTACTAGTTGGCATTGTCTCTTGAATTAAAAGTAAGGAGTTAAAAACCAAACCCAAAGCTCATTATTTAGCCCAACTACTCAAGAATTATATTCTAAAGTATAAAACGTTAGGAACTAAGGGCTAAAAAAATACATCTTTTTTTTTAAACGTTCCTAACATATTGCATTTGCCCCGAAAAATGGGGCAAATGTGTTAGCGGCTAATTACATTACACTATTAATGTATTTGTAGTGGGTATGGGGCTAATGTAAAAGAGGAAAAAAATAGGATTATTTTGGTGTAAAATCGTGTGAATCCGTTAATAATCATAAGGTGTGCAAATTTTTTTTTATTTTTAATTTAAGAATTAACAGACTTCGCGGTTAATAGGTACAAAAAGGAAAAAACGATTTATTATTACCCAGAACGCAAAATCACATTCCCTGCACATGTCAGGAATATTCCCAGGAATATTCCAAGCGTCCCAGAATATTCCCAGGAATATTCCTGGCATAATCAAATGTCCGCTTTTTGGTTAACCCAGGCATCATAAAAAGAATATTCCATGTATCTACCTGCAGAAGACTCAAGGATTGTTAGGGGAATATTCCTTGATATAATTTGAGGATTATTCCCAGCCCTTATACCCAGGAACTTAACTTAAGTACAGCCATTATTAGTTATTATTAGTTACTGAGTAGATCAGTCCCACTCTAATCATTGTTTAGCTGTGCCATCACAGACGCACATCTCCAACTGATATTATTAACCTATCGGTATATATAGTTATCAAGCGTGCGTAAACAACGGTGAGAGGTATTGCAACTAAACTAATGAATATTCACTGGGAATGTTCTTAGATGATGCTTGGAAGTTTTAGAGGATCATTCTAGGAATATTCCCAATGAATATTCCTAGAATGAAGCGGATTATTCCTAGGCGATAGGGAATATTCCTGGAATATTTTCGAACCTTCATTGCAGTCTGGGTATGTACTTAAGTAACCAAGTGGTACCTACTGCGCAGTAATTGTCGGGATTTCTCTACTTAGATATGCAACCCAAGAGAACAGCGTGCGTTTTTATTCGTTTGCTTTTATTTACTACTTCAAGGAAGAATTTTATCGCAAGATGTTACATTTACCCCAATCTTACAATTACCCCACCTTACCTTATACCGATATCTTAGTTAGTAGACATGGGACCCACAACAAACTTATATCTGCGCAAGCAGAATTTAAATTCAAATTTGCGAAAAAAAGTTATTTTTTCAGCGCGTCTCACCAGCCCCCTGCCTCCCCTTATTAAGATTATTCAAATTAAAGTGGAACAATTCATAATTCACTACATTTTATCGGCAAATTTCAAAATTTATTTAAAAAATTTAAGAATTACAGATTCTATTAGGTAATTATTAATTTTGTTAATCGTTTAGACTAATTAGAATTCGTTTCATTAACCGAATTGTATTTAATTTGCTCGAATAAGGAAATTGAGTTTTACTTACTATACATTTTTAATACAATTAGGTATTTCATTTTACAAAAAAATCTGGTCTGTTAAATATTTTGCCGTTTAGGTTATGAACAGTAGAATGCAGAAATATTTTCAAGCCCCAGTGGCCTAATGGATAAGGCATCGGCCTCCTAAGCCGGGGATTGTGGGTTCGAGTCCCATCTGGGGTACAAAACTTTTTTATTTTTTTATTATTTATAATTTTTTATTTTACTGTTTATATTTAATTTAAAATTTAATTTTTATTTAATGTAGTAAAAGTACCTTTTTTACATTAAAATTTTTTAATGGGTATTTTACTCATTGTTACATTTTCGGACTATTGTTAATGTATTAAATAATACATTGGTTGCCTAACTTAGTAAAATAAAGAGCTCTTTAATTATTTATAAATAAATAATTTATTTTAGTGCCTTAAGTTAGGCAACCGTTTTAACTGAAAGGCATCCGTTAGGTGGTATAAGCACATGCGGTTTAAACGTAAATTTCACCAAGTACTCGATAGCCGTGATCGTCTAGTGGTTAGGACCCTACGTTGTGGCCGTAGTAACCCAGGTTCGAATCCTGGTCACGGCAATGCCAACGCATTGTCACGGCGAGGAAAACTTTTTTGCTTTTTTATTTTATTTGATAATTAATTTGAAAGAAATGTCCGCTAAAAATTGTTTACATTACATTTTTTGAAAAGTGTTGAATTTTTTTAAAATGCTTTTTAACATTTTAATTATTAATTTAAAAAAAATGTATTTCCAAAATTGTATGGGTAAAAAAATTTTAAGGAACAAAATTTTAAATGAATTTTATGCTTGAGAAGATTTTCTCAAAATTTTTTTAATTTTTTATATTTTTTGAAAAAAATTTAAAAATTGTTTTTTTGCTAAATGAAACCATTTAAAAACGAAAAAGAATTTTAAAAAAGTTTTCGCCCCCGGGTGGGCTCGAACCACCAACCTTTCGGTTAACAGCCGAACGCGCTAGCCAATTGCGCCACGGAGGCTATGTTTTTTTTATCCAAAACTCCACTACAAAAATCCAACATGTAATCTATTGGGTTTAAAACGTACCTTTAAAAACTTCAATTAAAAATAAATAAAACAATTTCACAGAATCAAAAACTTAAAAAAACATTCCAACACAATTAAATCGGTAATATTACATAGTACCGATAATTTATTATTTATATTAATGCTTTGTCTCCCAACAGGTAAAATGGGTACCTTGAGGGACACCATCGCGAAGTAGCGATTTGGCAACGTGGTACCGCGCGAGGGCAAGAAACTTCTTGGCACCAAGATTTCTTGTTGTTGTTACCTTAAGATCTTTAACGTTTCTCAATTAATTTTTACCTGCATCATTTTTAGAAATTCTTGAATAAAACTTATGCTGAACAAGTTGTTGTGTGTTTTGTTTTTAGCTGTTAGTTATATTTGTGGTGGTGATTGTTAATTTTTGCGATCAAGATTAGTGCCTTTAATAAAATTAGCGGAAGGTACTCTGATTGGTGAGTTAACCTAACATTTTAAGGATTATTCAGTGGAATTAGAAAATGGGTGGGATTTATTTTTAAAAATTTGTTTGGAAAGTTCAGTATTATTATTTATTGAATAAATTCTTTACTAAATCGATTAATTAAAAAAAAATATCAAGCAAAAAAAATTTATCAAGCAAAAACTGATTCAAACTAAAAAATCATTTTAGAATTCTACGCAAAAAATCATGAAAAATAAGTGGTCGGAAGGTATACCTTACTCAACAAATAATGCCATGATGTTCTTTTGTTTTCCGTTCTAACTTCTTTATTTTAAAAATAATATAGGTATGGGTTGCGACCACTCATTTTTCAAGATTTTTTGCATGGATTTCAAATACAGTGTGACCCATTTGTTTGCGACTCACCCCTGTAAAATCTTTATTTATTGTGCGATTTTAACCGGATTTGTTTTAAAGTGTAGATCTTGATAAACTGTATTTTTGGAGCAAAAGACGCCATATTAATACAAAATACAAGGCCTACTATGTCAGTTTTTAAGAGTAAATTTTTAAGAATTCATATTAGCGATTTTTTTAAACAAAATATAACCACGGCACTGGATTCACCACCCCTCAAAACTATCCTATACAAAATTTTAAGAAAAAAAATGCACAAAAATAACTACAAAAATTTATTTTGTGAAGTTATTCATGAAAAAAACATAGAAATAAAATTAAACTAATATTAACATGGTACTATTACTAAAAGTTTAATTTTATTTCAATGTTTTTTCATGGATAACTTCACAAAATAAATTTTTGTAGTTATTATTCTGCATTTTTTTTCTTAAAATTTTTTAATAAAATTTAGTTTAGGGTACTTTTGAGGGGTAGTGAATCCAGTGCCGTGCTTAGATTTTGTTTAAAAAATCGCAAATATAAAATCTTAAAAATTTACTCTTAAAAACACAGTACATAGTAGGCCTTGTATTTTGTATTACGAGGGTTGCCTTTTATATTTCGGGAATGGCCGAACCTGCTGATGCTATCGGACAACAGATGTCTGTATCGTTAAGTTCGACCTTTTAGACGGTGTTCTTACTTAACACGTTTTGACGTGCGGGCGCAATTAGTATTATTAACAGTCACTTGAAAAATTAATGTCGGCCAAAAAAATGGAATTGACCAGTGAACATTTTCGTGCTATAATTTTTACAACTTTAACGTGGATTATCCCAACAATAATGCATCGATGAACTTAATTTGACTTTTGGCGACAAAGTGCCATAAAAAACAAGTGAATATCGGTGGTGTTCCGAATTTAATCGTGGCCGTGGTTCGCTCACCGACGAATTTTGTGAAGGTCGTCCAAAATCACTCGTTCTTGCAAAAACATTGATGCTGTGCGTGAACTGGTAATGCAAGATCATCATGTGACATATCGTGAGATTGGGTCATCCTTGGGCATTAGTGGGACCAGCATACATTCAATATTAAATGAACATTTGGCCTTCAGAAAAAATTGTTACCGTTGGATCCCACATAATTTGAGAATCGATCACAAAAGGTCTCGGGTCTAGTGGTCAAAAGAAATGCTTAAAAAATACGATGGCGGTGCCTCAAAACATGTTTATGACATTGTAACAGGTGACGAATCATGGATCTATGCGTATGAACCTGAAAGTAAACAGCAGTCGACTGTGTGGGTCTTTAGAAGCGGTTGATGCGTTCAAAATGCATGTTTTGGAGGTGCCTCAATCGGAGTGAAAAAAATGCTTCGAAAATTGGTTCAAGTGCATGCAAAAGTGTGTCGATCTTCATGGAGAATATTTTAAAAAACAATAAAGCCATGCACGATGATTAATTGTTGTTTGTTTTCTCTATTCCCGAAATATAAAAGGCAACCCTCGTAATACAGTTTATCAAGATCTACAGTTTAAAACAATTCTGGTTAAAATCGCACAATAAATAAAGATTTTACAGGGGTGAGTCGCAAACAAATGGGTCACACTGTATGATAGAAACAATCTAATTATACCTCAAAATACTCCACTATTTAAATTGTGTAGGTTTTTTAGAATTCTACACAAAAAATCATGAAAAATGAGTGGTCGGAAGGTATACCTTACTCAGCAAATAACGTCATGATGTTCTTTTGTTTTCGTTCTAACTTCGTTATTTTAAAAATAATATATGGGTTGCGACCACTCATTTTTCAGGATTTTTTGCATGGATTTCAAATATGATACAAACAATACTCCATTATTTAATATGATAATTTTTTTACATACATATCTTCAGGCCTCCGACGAAGAAAAAATCCAAAATGGGGTCGCGAGTGGGCGGACTAAGCACAGTTGGTCTGCCCGCGGATAAAGCCCTTGCAGGGGTGCCCAGACTGTTGGACGATCTTCAGCGACTGTCCGAAGATTCGGATTCTGCGGACATCGTCTTCGTTTTGGGTAGAGAAGAGGAACGAGTGTTCGCACATAGAGTCATCCTGATGGCCAGGTAAAAAATAAATCAGAAACGATCGAGATGATAAACTTAAAAGGGGTGAGATAAAAAGGGATTGTGTGTAACACGCACATTTCATTAGAACATCAAAGTTGCCAAGAAGCTTTGTTTCAGTCCTCTTTGGAGCTTATTGCTTCTTCAGTATTTCTGGCGTATAACGAGGCTAATAATAAGTCTTCTCCACTATATAGTGGAGGAGAACTCTTGATGCAGATGCAGGTATAATTGGATATCATTCTAAAACTACGCATACGTCTTTGATCTCTTGAAATTGTAGCTGGTGGCGTATCAACATATCCATATTTGTATACATCAACCCCTTGTGTATATACGGGTTATTCTTACCCAGAGAGCCATATCAGGTTAAACTTCGCCGAGAATTGCCCTTTCACTTTTGGAAAAGTTTTGCCAATAAATGTACAATATATAATATACCTATGATTTTTGTGCAATCGCGATTGCCAACAATAAATGATTAAATTGTGCCCAATAATATGCAATGACAATTTTTTATGTTTATTTAGGCAAATTAGGCTTTTGAAAAGTTGACCAATGACATGATATTGGTAAATATTTGAACAAATCCAGAGGATTTACAAATATTATAATTATATTGGAAAGAATATTACTATTCTCGTTTATATTAAAATATATTAATTTTTTAGAGAGTATTTGAAAATTGGGTAAATAAAACGCTTTATATATGGGTGAATCTCACGAAATGTTCCCCGATGGTGTTACCCCGTGATATTTAATAAAACTTAATGAGTTTGACCTACACTTTTATTGTGTTTTGATCTTTCATAATTAAGTATACTAATATCTATAGATATTACAGCCCAGGTTTCAGATTTTTAACCGCAATTAATTATTTTTTACAATGTTTTAAAAGTCTAAAACCTATCCTCCGTGACTGTTACTCTTTCTAGGTTAACCTATATGTTTTCAAATATCCGAGGTAGTAAAAGCATACTAAAAATATCAGTTCACTAAGTAAGTTAAACACATCCAAAGCAATCGAATCAAATATAAAATATTATTAAAAATTAAAAGAAATAATTTTTATAACCATTTATGTAGGTGTTACAAAAATTGATTCTATCCTCCGTGAATCTGTTTTTGCTTTAAATTTTATGCAACGGATGGCGCTTTAATCATTTTAAATAAGCAAAAACCTCTGTTTACGACATTATAGATGCATGTGATTCCTGAAGTTCAGTTCGAATTTATATGCAGATGATAGTGTTGCTGTTTTTTAATTCAAAAGTTCAAGTTCATTAATTTGCTATTTAAAAACCTATCCACAGTGAAGTGTAATATCTCAGTAAGTAGATTTTTGTTATAAATATTTTATGTTTGTACAGGGTGATCCCCTATAATGTCGCCCTCCTTTAACTTTTTTATTTTAAGTGTCCCAAAAAATTTAAAAGTGTGGTTATGTACGTACTAACAAATAATTTTTTTCTACGTATAAAGAAAATTGGAAAATTGATCATTATACAGGGAAAAACAAAAAGTTTATTTTTTTTCAATGGATCACCCTTTATATGTATTTATTTTTCAATTCCTTCTAAAATTCTTAGCATATTTCATATAACATACCATATACCTAAATTCAACCGTTTCTAAAATATTTAAATTATTATTAAGATAATAATTTGAAATAGTTTGTCTTTCTCTGTCTGAGTACGCCATTTTTACTTATTTAACAAGATATATTGACATAATGTCACTATAGTAATTTATTTTCAATAAAAATTTTGATATACTGAGGCTTATTGATTTCTAACAGTTTAAAAAAACATTTGTTATATGAATTATGCTAAGAATTTTACAAGGAATCGAAAAATAAATTCATATATAGGATGATCCATTGAAAAAAAATAAACTTATTGTTTTTCCCTGTATATTGATCAATTTTCCATTTTTTAATACATAGAAAAAAAGTATTTTTTAGTACCTACATAACCACACTTTTAAATTTTTTGGGACATTTAAAATAAAAAAGTTAAAGGGGGGCGGCATTATAGGGGATCACCCTGTACAATTGTATTTTTTGAAAATATTAAGGTGTCTAAAGACTTATTTATAAAACTTATTTCAAATATACAAAGGGATGTTTAAAAAAACATACAAAATCATAACCTCCGTGAAGATGTCTTCCGTGAACCTGTAATATTCAAAATTCGACAAATATATTATATTTGCTTTTTCAACCATTCGAATGCAAAAATTGATTTTATTAGGAATGTTTTAATGCATACATCTCAGTTTTTATCAAAAACGGATTTAAGGGGTTTTGATCCCAGAGGATTCAAGTATACTATTTAAGTACATAGTTATTTATTATAGTTAATAATTTGATTTCGTTTTTTTTGTTATTTGTTTATGTTGTTTGTAAGGTTTATGCAGCATAAATTATGCGGCTTTTTTAAATAAAATAAAATGAATATTTCGTTTTTTTTAAACTATCGATAATTTATCGATAGTTTTGATAATTACGACCATGATTATCGAAACTATCGATATTTTTTTTTCATCACTATCGTCACCTCTACAGAAAACAATTACCTATAACTCGCTATTGCGCATTGTAAACTGATTCTTTTTCCATGCTGATCAATTATTTTCCAAGTTTCGATCAACCTACATTACAAACGCTTTGCCAATTTTCGACCAAACTTCATTACAAACGAAGTTGGCCAAAAATAACTCTTTTTAAGTCTCTATTTTCATGCAGTTTTTGTGCTATCGCGTTGAAAATACAATTTATGTCCAAATAAACCCCAATAAATGTAAAATATCTTACACCAAATTAGTTAGGAAGAAGTTGACTAATTCTTTTCCAAACCATGGTTTTGTGGGAATTACCCATAGGTAAAGCGGCGGCGGCTTTTGATAAAAGAATGTAGCTAATGGAATCGTTTCCCGCTTTTCACAAGTGTTCCTTTTACAAAGGGCACGTCCTTATTGTTTTCATCTTCTGCCTTTCTCAAAAAACCTTCATGCTAATTTATACGACCGGGATTTTTAATAAGCATTTTCATGTTTTCTCCGCTAATTACAACTTACCAGCCGATGAATTGTACGTTCAAAGGGCTTGCGAGCCTAATTAGCAAAAGTACGCTCGCTTTGTCAAAGCGAAAAATATTCCAGCTAATCAACTCTCAAGTGCTCGATTTTTCTCCCATGAAATTACTTGACTTCAAAATTGGGGTCAACACAAAATTTGATGGCATAAAGTTGGCTTATACGCTTAAGTTGGGTTTTTTCGAGAGGAAATCCTGGTTTGAGTTTTTACCGGCTTCCCAACAAACAGTGAAAATCCGAAAGAAAAAATAAATTGCATACCTACACTCTTAAAAATAGGTTGGTTATGAGAACTAATTTTTAGTGCTTATAACTCATTTTCTTAGTCAAAATAGTCCCAACTGACAAATTAGTTCTGAGAACTAATTAAAAATTTTGAACTTCATTAGTTGCTTTAAAACAAAAAAATTAGTAGGGAGAGCTAATAAAAAAGGGTAAGAATGACTAACAAAATTTTTTATAGTCCTTAAAATAAATCATACATATACCATACTAATTTAGTTACTGCAACTCAATAATTCTTGCAACTATGAATAATTTTAGTAAACCGAATCTACAAAACTGTCATGACGAGCATAAATCGTTTCAATAGCTAATAGATTTATGAAACGAAAATGAAAAAAAATTGAGGAAGATTAACCTCTAAGATAAGATAACAAAAAAATGTATAATTACCACAAATAAAACTACTCTTGCAAGAATTTAATGTATTTTACCTCTAAAAATGTCAGTGTAATTTTTACATTACTAATAACTACACGTACAAAAAATAAGACTTTTTTCATATTTAAATAAATTTTATTTAAAAAGTCTAAAACTAAACATAAATACTTACAGCAGTTTAAGTTTAAAACAGTTAAGTCTTTACTCTAATAATTATTATAACATTACTAATGACTATGACATGATGTCACTTACAATTTTGTCCGATGTATGCATCAAACTGATACTGGCCTGTTGTATTTTACAAAATATGTATAATATTTTATATTTACACTGAGAGAAATGATATTATAAGAAGTTTTGCTAAACCAAAAATTATAACACCTATTAAAAATCTTATAACACTAAGAAACAATAATAGCATATTTCCTAAACTAGGTTATAATGAATATAATATTAGATTTATTAATACGAGAATATACACCTAATAATTCTGCATAACTATGACTAAAATGCGCATTTCTGCTGGTATAAGAAATTGTATCCCAATAAAATAGCTTATAACTACTATAAGATCAGTTACTGTTGTTATTAGACATACTATTATTATACCAGCGTACGTGACGACCAACAACATTCGTTATTTTTCTCTTGGATGTGTGTGTACTGTGCAGTGTCATTTCTTATTTTCTATTGCCATACCTGCATAAAAAGTTTGAATATATAGTAAAAGTGCTTAATTTTATTTGTTACTGTTTTTGTTTAATTGGCCTATCTTTGGTTTATTGTAAAAGCAAGTGAGTGCATATTTAACAGACAGTGTTTTTCCGAAGTTTGATGATGTTATGGAAAGATCAAGTGTAACCATGGTGCACCATTAGTAATTAAAATTAACGTTTTACGTGCAAAACGAGTAAGTCTTAAAAGCACAAATTATAAAATAAATGATATAATTTATGTTGATTTAGACGAAATACCCGTGCTTGGAGTTTTATATGTTTTCGATGCCAATAGTAAAAATATTTTATTTGTTTATAAAAAACTTAAAAAATATTTTTTGCAGACTTATAAAATAGACATAAAAGACAACAAAAGACTGGGTGTTTTACAATGTAACTTAAATTATTATGCACCACTTAGAACCATGTTACCTGATTGGTTGTTATGTTTGTTTACCTTGTTTTTAGGCTATAGTTTAGTAGGTTTAACCCAAGGTTGGTAGATTAAACAGGTTGCATGGTAATTTCTGGCACCAGCCATTTAACGCGCAAAATGACGTGCCCATTTAGTATTTAATTTAGTAAAGCAGAATGGCACACCCGATGACGCGTTGCCCAAGCAGTTACCATGCAGCCTGTAACCATATGCATGTAACAGGTTACCTGTTTAATCTACTAACCTTTGGTTTAACCTATACATTTTTGTAATAGATAGTTATCTAAATTTATCTTGTATAGTTTTTTTAATGAAATAAACAAAACTTGTATATAGAGCATTTTATTTCTACAGCAGTATGTTTTATATATAATACGTTATATATATATATATATATATATATATAATAAAACCAATGTTATAAACCTTATAAGACCTTCTAATATGCATTATAAGATATTATAAACTATATTGGGCGTATTATTAATGCCATTAGAAATATGTTATAAACCTTATAACACCTTCTATTACTTCTTATAAGAATGAAATATAAAATATATTAGAAGTGTTATCAATCTCACTATAATCAAGTTATAAACCTTATAACATAATCTAATACTCATTATAAAAATGAGTCATTAACAATAATAGAAATTTTCTAAAACATAAAAGAATATTAGCATCTTAAATTATAATTACCATAAGGAAATATATTTTAAACGTTATAAAATCGTCTTACTAATCTTCAGATGATAACAGTAATAAATCGATTTATTGTCCAAATAGGTATAGAGATTTATTATATCCATTATTAAAAAAAATTATATTTCTTATAATATTTTTCTCTCAGTGTATTTTTTTTAAACTAAACTTTTATTGCTTTATTAATCTTCAAATTTAACAATGTATGTATCTTTTAAACATTTTTATTTAAAATGGCGTAAATTTGGAAGGCTTTCGGTTCGATCATTTACTAGTTTTCAAAATAGGGCCACTAATTCTCGACTGGCCAACAATTGCACCATTGTACCCGGTGTTTGTATCATGCAATAAACCCAATCTTAGACGACATTTAATTGTCTAAGTACCCAATTAATGTTGAAAACTAGTTTTTAACATTAATTGGGTACCTACTTAGACTTAGAACAAGTGGACATAACCTATCTCTTTATACATACAATGTGAGCATTATAATCAACAAAGCTACCTTAAACAAAATAATATTTACCTTTGAAACACAGTAATAATATTTACACATAAAACTTTTTCCATAAAACTTATGCACTTGCACTGCATATGCACTTGTCTTCGCCCTTGCGAAATTGGCGAAAACTGCCCGTGTATGCCCATATATGGACATGATAGGCAGCAATTCTGTTTCGTTGTGCCAACTAATTAGGTTGTTGATGCAACAATACTGTTTGATTTGATAGCGAATTTGTCAACTGAAAGAATTAAAAAAATACCTTTCCAAAACACACAAAATATTCATTATAAGAAACCACTATTTTATTCCTAACAACTAAACAGATCTAATTAGAATTATGATATTTTTTTATCAACTGAATTTTTCTTTCTTACAACTAACATGCAGTAAAAATATTACTGAGTTTGTGTAACTAGGCATTATGACCACCATTTAATAATTCCAGCGAAAATAATTCGATGCTCTCACCAAACCGATTCAACTAATAAAATTTTGTTAGAAATACCATGTCATTTTTAAGAGTGTACAGTCCCTGTAAATATAAATTTTACCTATTAAATACAAAAAATACACATTTTAGTAATGATTACGTGAAAATTGTAAATATTTCAATTTAGTAAAAATCATAAAAGCGTTTATTAAGAAAGTCTCCACTAAACAGTAAAATACCAAGAACCGGTATTATATTATGTATTATATATTATATTATGATATATACATTATATTAGGTAAAGTTATCATTAATTAATTCTGCACCAACAAATATACGCACCGAATTGGATCCTTTGGCAAAACATGAAAATGCAAGGATTTAGTTCTTGAACTTTATTAAAATAAAAAACACAATAATTCACCATGATCACTTAGATAAAATACACACACTAACGTAACTATATAAACATATAAGCGCTGAGTTTCTTAATCAAGGAATAATAAATCGAAATCGAGAACTAAACCAACGTTTTTTAGTTTTTACTTGCAATGCGAAACACAAACTTGCGCAATTAAATAAATTTTAGATTGTCCAAACCATATTTAAGAATGTTAAGACATTTAAAAATGTGAAAACACATTTTAAAAATGTCAAAATGCAAAACATATCTTTAAAAATGTGAAAACAAATTTTAGAAAGTTAAAATCATATTTAAGAATGTGAAACCTATTAAAGATCGTCCAAATATTTTTAAGAATGTCAAAACAAATTTAAGAACATATTAAAAAATGTCAAGATATTTAATAGCGTAAAAAACACATTTTGAGAATGTCAAATACAAAACAAATCTTTAAGAATGTCAAAACAAATTTTAGAATATCAAAATCATATTTAAGAATGTAAAACATATTATAGAACGTCCAAATAATTTTTAGAATCTAAAAATACATTTTAAGAATGTCAAAACAAATTTAAGATTGTCAAAACAATATTTAAGAATTTCAAGACATTTAAGAATGTAAAATACACATTTTAAGAATGTCAAAATGCAAAACAAATCTTTAAAAATGTCAAAACAAATTTTAGAATGTAAAACATATTAAAGAACGTCCAAATAATTTTTAGAATGTAAAAAATACATTTTAAGAATGTCAAAACAAATGTTAGATTGTCAAAACCGTATTTAAGAATGTCAAGACATTTACGAATCTAAAAAACACATTTTAAGAATGTCAAAATGCAAAAAAAATATTTAAGAATATCAAAACAAATTTTAGAATGTCAAAATCATATTTAAGAATGTGAAACATATTAAATAACGGCGAACTAGTTTTTAAAATGTAAAAAATACATTTTAAGAGTGTCAAAACAAATTTTAGATTGTCAAAACCATTATTTAAGAATGTCAAGACATTTAAGAACGTAAAAACATATTTTAAGAATGTCAAAATGCAAAACAAATTTTTAAGAATGTCAAAACAAATTTTAGAATGTCAAAATCATATTTAAGAATGTAAAACATATTAAAGAACATCCAAATAATTTTTAGAATGTAAAAAATACATTTTAAGAATGTCAAAACAAATTTTAGATTGTCAAAACCATATTTAAGAATGTCAAGACATTTACGAATGTAAAAAACAAATTTTAGAATGTCAAAAACATATTTAAGAATGTGAACAATATTAAAGAACTTCCAACTAGTTTTTAAAATGTAAAAAATACATTTTAAGAGTGTCAAAACAAATTTTAGATTGTCAAAACAAATTTTAGATTCTCAAAACCATATTTATAAGAATGTTAAGACATTTAAGAATGTAAAAACATATTTTAAGAATGTCAAAATGCAAAACAAATTTTTAAGCATGTCAAAACAAATTTTAGAATGTCAAAATCATATTTAAGAATGTGAAACATATTAAAGAACGTCCAAATAGTTTTTAAAATGTAAAAAATACATTTTAAGACTGTCAAAACAAATTTTAGATTATCAAAACCATATTTAAGAACGTAAAAAACACATTTCAAGAATGTCAAAATGCAAAACAAATATTTAAGAATGTTTACATTTAAAACACAATAATTCACCATGATCATGATATATAGCACTTAGATAAAATACACACACTAACGTAACCATATAAGGATTGAGTTTCTTTATAAATGATATAAGGAATCTAAATAAAAAAAACTATTTTTTTTAGTTTTTACTTGCAACGCGAAACACAAATAAAGAACAAAATTTGTCGAGTAAGATTTCTGCCTTCCTCTCTTTTGTGAAAAACTACTTATTTATTAAAAAATTATGTGCAGTTCGTATGCTTTAAATGTATTGTTGACAATTCTTGAATTCACACAATACCATCGAACACCACCAGAGGCGCGCGCGTTGCAAAAACCCGATGCTTCTTTGGCGTATTAATTAAATCTCATCTTATTGGAAACTTGGATCATTCCCGCCTTTTTATTTGTCAATTAAACACCCCGATGTTTGTCGATTGAAGTGAGCTGAGAGGACGTGAATTTTTCCCTTCCCGCGTATAATACGGGAAATTAATTTCCACCCTCGCGCGCTCATTTCCCTCATTCGGTCCGCAGGCCATCAATTGACACTTCTGTTCCATTAACTTTCACCCCGATACCCATTTACTTACATATCGAGTTTTAAATAATGCAGAATCTGCGGACTTGGTTTTCACGGACGTCAAAAGTGACAATTTAAATGTCAAAACAAGCTTCAACTGTCAACTGTCAAAAATTTGACAGTAACACGGCCAACGCGTATTAAATCGAATTTTATTGTGCTGCCTTAGATGCAAAAGCTTCCAAACAGCGAAAAGAGGAGAAGTTTGCAGAATACCGGGATGTACAGTTTCCCCTTCCCCGCCAGGTACCCCTACACCAATCAGATTACCGCAAGCCATACCAGAAACGTTCAAACAATTTTTATTGTACGTCTACACAGGAAAGGTAACCAAAATGTAAAGCAAAAACGTGTTGTAAAATATTTCTTCTAGATTTTGCTACAAGATAGTGGTGTATTCGAAATGTTGGCTCTGGCTCAAGAACTCGGCGTTGACGAGCTCCGAAACGCTTGCGAAGATCACGTGACGTCAACATTATCAGTTCCTTCAGCCTGTAATTTTTTGGCGTCCGCCATGGATATTCAAAATAAATGTCCAGGTAAGCTATTGTATCATCTAATACAACCCTGGTATAATTTTAAATAGGGTGAAGTGGGGTAAAACCCAAAAATATAACCCTTCTTTTACTCATTTTTGGATTTTTTACCTTTTTTGGAGATCTGGCTGCAAAATCAAAATTTTTTTTAAGTTAACTTTTATTTAGACTTGTCTTATGAGTGTCACCTAAAAATTTTTATTTCCGATTTCTGCTATGAATATTAAAAAAGGGTTCAAATATTTTGGTATCCTGGGTTATTTTACAAGAGGAATCCAGTCCTGCTACCAGATTTTGATTTGAATGATAACAACAAAATTTACAGTAGTGATTACATTTACCCCAGAAAATCTATACATGGGGTAAGTGTAATCACAGAGTCAGGGGTAAATGTTATCGGTGATTATATTTGCCCCAGTCTCTAATATTTGGCTTTAATTTATAATTTTGTAATGTATTCTTGTTTGCTTCAGATTTTTAATGAAGAAAACACCAAAGTTTTATTCCCTTAGTATGTACCACAAAAAAGCTTGTAACTTGCTTATCATACAAGATATAAATTTGTTCTTTATTTCGTTAAAATCATAATTTTGTATTCTATATTACACTTGCCCCAGACACATTAGCACGATTTCTAGTTATCAACTACGAGTCGTGATTACACTTGCCCCAAATGCTGGGGCAAGTGTAATCAGCACACTTGGTCCAGCATTATCATGTATAAAAGAATAAGGCGGTTAGAAAAATAGTTTTACTTGCATTTCTTAAACAACTAAATAAGCAATAATCTCGCAAAAAATGGACCCTGTACCTCTATTGGTTCTCTAGTTATTTTAGTTTAAAGTTGAGGTATCATTTTTTTGATTACACTTACCCCACTTCACCCTATTGTATATTGTACCTTATATACCTTACTCAACAAATAATGCCATGATGTTCTTTTGTTTTTCGTTCTAACTTCGTTATTTTAAAAATAATATATGGGTTGCGACCTCTCATTTTTCAATATTTTCAAATATGATACAAACAATCTAAGTACACCATGCATATTCAAAATAAATACCCAGGTAAGCTGGTAATAACCCTGGTATAATTTTAAATATTGTAGTACGGCCCTGTGTTTTCCTTTTTCAAGCGTATAATAATTTTCATATTATAATACTCATAAGTCTAAATAAAAAGACATCTAGTTCAAAAATCAAATTATTATAAACCCTGGTACAAAAATAAAGCTAAAATGTCAGTTGAACCTAACCTAAAAATTATGAATTGTCTCGCACTTAATGAAATGTAAGCTCGGCTATAATATGAGCTTTCTATGAATAGAATTTTACAATAACATTAAAATATAAAAGTGATGGTAAAAATCTTCCTTAAATATTTATATTATGTTAGAAAATTAATACTTTAAATATTTTGAATACGCCCCTGTCCTTCCCTTGAATCTGCGCAAAAATAAATTTTAGATTGTTAAAAACATATTTAAAAATGTCAAGACAGGTAAGAATGTAAAATACACATTTTAGGAATGTCAAAACAAATTTTAGATTGTCAAAACTATATTTAAGAATGTCAAGATATTTATAAATATAATATATAATATATTTATAAGAACTTAAAAAATACATTTTAATAATGTCAAGACATTTAAGAACGTAAAAACATATTTTAAAAGAGTCAAAATGCAAAACAAATTAATACTTTAAATATTTTGAATACGCCCCTGTCCTTCCCTTAAATCTGCGCAAAAATAAATTTTAGATTGTTACAAACATATTTAAAAATGCCAAGACAGGTAAGAATGTAAAATACACATTTTAGAAATGTTAAAACAAATTTTAGATTGTCAAAACCATATTTAAGAATGTCAAGATTTTTATAAATATAATATATAATATATTTATAAGAACTTAAAAAAATACATTTTAATAATGTCAAGAAATTTAAGAACGTAAAAACATATTTTAAGAGAGTCAAAATGCAAAACAAATTTTAGATTTTTAAAATCATATTAAATGCCAAGACATTTTAAAAAGTAAAAAACACATTTTAAAAATGTCAAAATGCAAAACAAATCTTTAAGAATGTCAAAACAAATTTTAGATTGTCAAAATCATATTTAAGAATGTCAAGATATTTAAGAACGCAAAAAATACATTTTAAGAATGTCAAGACATTTAGGAACGTAAAAAACACATTTTTAGAATGTCAAAATGCAAAACAAATTTTAAAGAATGTCAAAACAAAAATTTTAGATTGTCAAAACCATATTTAAGAATGTCAAGACATTTTAGAATGTAAAAACATAATTTAAGAATGTCAAAATGCAAAACAAATATTTAAGAATGTCAAAACAAGTTTTAGATTGTCAAAACCATATTTAAGAATGTTAAGATATTTAAGAACGACTATTTCCCTCGTCTTAATTTCCACCAATCACAAACGCGCAATTTTGAATTACAAATGGTTTCTAGGTGGAAAAACTGTATGACAGCACCTGTCAGCAATTTTCGAGTTTACCCGCGGCAAAATTTGACAGCTATTGTCACCAGAAATTGCAATTTATATTTTAATTGTTAACTGTTACTCATGAAATAGTCTTGTCAAATACCATTCGGACATCTAATTTTTCCTGTGAAAAAAATCGAAAAAACACAATGTTAAGTAGGAATATTTTTTAACAAAATGTATTCGTGCAGGTGCAAAAATCCTCGTCTTCGACTCGGATTTTTGTTGCCACCAGCACTCATGCTTCTTGTTAAAATATTACTTAGCAACGTGTTTTTTCGATTTTTTTCGGAAAAATGAAATGCCCTTATGATATTACTTACGAAAAATACATTTTAAGAATGTCAAAAAGCAAAACAAATCTTTAGGAATGTCACAACAAATTTTAAATTGTCAAAACTAGCAAAATCCACATGTTTAGGGAATTTTTTGGCGAAAAAAGTCACATTTTTAATGAATTTGTTTTGTACTGGTGACTGTATATTATTTGATATAATATAATCGATAAAACATTTTTGACGATTTAGCAAAAATATTTATATTATGTTATAAAATTAATATTTTTCACAATAATGGATAAGAAATGGCGATTTGGAAATAAAATTTTAATTTTATTTCCAAATCGCCATTTCTTATCCATTATTGTTGAATCTATAATTAAGACCACAGTAATGAAGGAACCACGTAATTTTTCGGACGCTATTATCTTAGTTTTGCAACAGTGAGGGTTGGTTCCCTGTTGCATAACACCATTCAAATATTCTGAATACGCCCATGTGCTTCCCTTCAATCTGCGATTTAAATACCGCATCGGCAACCGCGCGAAAAACCGGCAACGTCCCTCCGCCGGCGTCTGTCAAAAATCTCGACGTTTGCGAGCGTTTTGTTTACCGCTTCAATTCTCGTTACAAATCGCCGCAAAAATGGCATACAAACCGCAAAAAGTGCAAAAGGTGATGGTGCAACCCATCAACCTGATCTTCAGATACCTGCAGAACCGATCCCGCGTCCAAGTTTGGCTCTACGAGAACGTGCATTTGCGTATCGAAGGCCACATTGTCGGTTTTGATGAGTACATGAACTTGGTTCTGGACGACGCGGAGGAATACTACACCAAAACCAAGAACAGGAGGACGCTGGGGAGGATAATGCTGAAAGGGGACAACATCACTTTAATCCAGAACGTCCCTGAGCCCGATAATTGAATTTAACCTCGCAAACAGTGACATAACCTCACAAACTTTTGCAACTGACTTTTTAAGTGAAAACAAAACGCGTATTTGTAGAAATATTAACATTTCCATACACTAGGTTAATTTGAATTATACTTGTAATAAGCTAAAATAAATATTTTATAAATCACCATCACTTGCATTCTAATTTAATCTTTACCAACACTTTTTACTTTAAACTTAATAAAAAGTGGACATTTTAGGTGGTAAAGCTGCAACAGGTTTCATTGAGAGATGTGTGAGTTACATAGGAGAAAATGCAGTCGAATGTGTAAGAACAAACTCATTTCTATCGCTACCAAAAGAAGCAGTTATAAAACTGATATCATCGGATTATGTGAGCAAATAATAGAAAAAAATAACGAATGAATTAAAAATATATAAGTTGCAGTTGTGTTTGGAGGAAGAAGATGTTTGGAGAGCCGTTTTAAACTGGGCAAAATATCAGGCGGGTGTTACTCAACCCAGTGCTCATTGGACGGAAGAGGAGCGAGCCAGGGTTTGTCAGCATCTTGGACATGTTATTAACCATGTTAGGTTACTTTTAATAGGTAAACAATTTTTTTATCTATCCCATTTGTACTAAAATTTATTCTAAATTTTGTTTTACGTTATTAAATATGGTTTTAAAATTTTAAATTTTTTTGGAACACCCAAAAATTGGTTAAAAATTTTAAAATGTCAAAACAAATTTTAGATTGTAAAAGCCATTTTTAAGAATGTCAAAAACACATTTTACGAATGTCAAAATGCAAAACAAATCATTAAATATGTCAAAACAAATTTTATAATGTCAAAATCATATTTAAGAATGTGAAACATATTAAATAACGTGTAAATATTTTTTAGATTGTAAAAAAACACATTTTAAGAATGTCAAAACAAATTTTAGATTGTCAAAACCATATTTAAGAATGTCCAGATATTTAAGAACGTAAAATCACATTTTAAAAATGTGAAAATGCAAAACAAATCTTATAGAATGTTAAAACAAATTTTAGATTTTCAAAAAATTTAAGAATATCAAGACATTTATGAATGTAAAAAACACATTTTAAGAATGTCAAAATGCAAAACAAATTTTTAAGAATGTCAAGATATTTAAGATCATAAAAAAATTTAAGAATGTCAAAATGCAAAACAAAACTTTAAGAATGTCAAAACAAATTTTAGATTGTCAAAACCGTATTTAAGAATGTCAAGATATTTAAGAACGTAAAAACACATTTTAACAATGTCAAAATTCAAAACAAATATAAGAATGTCAAAACAAATTTTAGAATGTCAAAATCATATTTAAGAATGTAAACATTAAAGAACGTCCAAATAATTTTAAGAATTTCAAAACAAATTTTAGATTGTCAAAACCATATTTAAGAATGTGAAGACTTTTAGGAACGTAAAAAATATATTTTAAGAATGTAAAATGCAAGACAAATCTTTAAAAATGTCAAAACAACTCTTTAAAAATGTCAAAACAAATTTTAGATTTTCAAAACCATATTTAAGAATGTCTAGAGATTTAAGAACAAAAAATATTTTAAGAATATCAAAATGCAAAAGAAATCTTTTAGAGTGTCAAGATATTTAAGAACGTAAAAAATACATTTTAAGAATGTCAAAATGCAAACCAAATCTTTAATAATTTCAAAAGAAATTTGAGATTGCAAAAACGATATTTAAAATATGAAGAGATTTATGAACGTAAAAAACACATTTTAAGAATGTCAAAATGCAAAACCAATCTTTAAGAATGTCAAAACAAATTTTAGATTGTCAAACCCATATTTAAAAATATCAAGACATTTAAGATCGTAAAAGCACCTTTTTAGAATGTCAAAATGCAAAAAATCTTAAAGAATGTCAAAACAAATTTTAGATTGTTAAAACCATATTTAAGAATTTCAAAACATTCAAGAACGTAAAAACACATTTTAAGAATGTCATAATGCAAAACAAATCTCTAAGAATGTCAAAACAAAATTTAGATTGTCAAAACCATATTTAAGAATGTCAAAACATTTAAGAACGTAAAAATCTTATTTTGGAATGTCAAAATGCAAAACAAATTTATAAGAATGTCAAAACAAGTTTTAGATTGTCAAAACCATATTTAAGAACGTTTTAAGAATGTCAAAATGAAAAAAACATTTTTAAGAATGTCAAAACAAATTTTATATTGTCAAAACCATATTTAAGAATGTCAAGACATTTAAGAATGTAAAAAACACATTTTAAAAATGTTAAAATGTAAAACAAATTTATAAGAATGTCAAAACAAGTTTTGAATTGTCAAAACCATATTTAAGAACGTAAAAACACATTTAAAGAATGTCAAAATACAAAACAAATCTTTAGGAATGTCAAAACCATTTTTAAGAATGTCAAGATATTTAAGAACGTAAAAAACACATTTAAGAATGTCAAAATACAAAACAAATCTTTAGGAATGTCAAAACAAGTTTAAGATTGTCAAAACCATATATAAAAATATCAAGACATTTAAGATCGTAAAAGCACCTTTTTAAAATGTCAAAATGCAAAAAATCTTAAAGAATGTCAAAACCATATTTATGAATTTCAAAACATTCAAGAACGTAAAAACACATTTTAAGAATGTCATAATGCAAAACAAATCTTTAAGAATGTCAAAACAAAATTTAGATTGTCAAAACCATTTTTAAGAATGTCAAAACATTTAAGAACGTAAAAATCTTATTTTGGAATGTCAAAATTCAAAACAAATTTATAAGAATGTCAAAACAAGTTTTAGATTGTCAAAACCATATTTAAGAACGAAAAAACACATTTTAAGAATGTCAAAATGCAAAAAACATTTTTAAGAATGTCAAAACAAATTTTATATTGTCAAAACCATATTTAAGAATCTCAAGACATTTAAAAATGTAAAAAACACATTTTAAAAATGTTAAAATGTAAAACAAATTTATAAGAATGTCAAAACAAGTTTTGGATTGTCAAAACCATATTTAAGAACGTAAAAACACATTTAAAGAATGTCAAAATACAAAACAAATCTTTAGGAATGTCAAAACAAATTTTAGATTGTCAAAACCATATTTAACACGAACAAATACAAAACAAATCTTTAAGATTGTCAAAACCATGTTTAAAAATATCAAGGCATTTAAGATCGTAAAAGCACCTTTTTAGAATGTCAAAATGCAAAAAATCTTAAAGAATGTCAAAACAAATTTTAGATTGTCAAAGCCATATTTAAGAATTTCAAGACATTTAAGAACGTAAAAACACATTTAAGAATGTCATAATGCAAAACAAATCTTTAAGAATGTCAAAACAAAATTTAGATTGTCAAAACCATATTTATTAATGTCAAGACATTTAATTTTAGAATATCAACACATCTCATAGTGTCAAAATTATTTTTTTATTTAGACAGTCAAGTTTTCGCGGAAGAAGTGGAACCCACAGGTGCGGTACCAATGGAACTAAGTCTGGAAAGATACAGACACGCGGCGTTGCCAAGCAAATACCCCGAAGGTGCAGAGGACCAAAGATTAAGGCCCAGAATTTCCCCGCATCTGTTCCCAGGCTCTCTAATCCTGGGACAGGACAAAAGCCACTTCCAGCGGATTCTTAACGCGTGGTACGGACATCCGAAACAAACATGGCGGCTGGTCTACAGAGCCAGCAGTCACGGGTATTCGGCCTCTTCCTTCCACAGGCACTGCGATGGAATTTCGCCCACCTACGTCATAGTTATGGTAAGAATTTCCCGGGTGCGTCCCACACAGCAAACGGAAAAATATAGAAGTGTATTGGATGACGCCACGTTTGAATACAGTTTTCTAAATCTCGCCAGGGTATAGAGTTGTATTCGTCAGTCGAGCGTTTCAATACTCTCCACAGTATAGAGGTCGTAATTTCACTTTTGAACTAGTATTAATATGAAAACTATTTTAACCTTCAAAAAAAACTATATACCTACGACATGATTGTGATTTTTTTCATTTTATTAATTAATTAAGCTGTGTTGAATATTTTTACTAAAGGAATAATTGCCAATGGGCCTAATTCATTTGTTTGTAGATGCTACAATAACCTGCACTGGTGTGTACTTTTTCATCAACCAGATTTAAATATTGCTGTACTAACATATACCAGTGGAGATAGTGCAGGGTCTACCAACAGACCTCATTACTAAATTATTAAAGTTTAATAGCATATCGATCATTTTTTCAACATAACCTCTGAAATTTTTAATACGAATATAGGTACTTTATAAAATACATAAATATACTTTACATCATATCCTCTGTGCTTTACATACCTGAGTTGTTACGGTAAATAAAAATCAGACAAAGGAACCAAAGAAAGGAACTATTTTCAACAAAATCATATGCAGAAATGAGAAAATTCAAACTACTTGCGTCCATCAAAAGATCAAAACTTCTTGCAATATTACACCCTCTTTTTATACTCTCAGAAATATTGACTAGAACAGTATTAGAGAGACTCCAGTTTCTATAACTTGGTAGAGTAAAGAGAAGTCGAAACCGTTGCGATATTGCATTGCGCTGTTTTTGTATAATTCTCGGGGACATTAACGAAAATCATTGCCAGTAAAATTCGAAAAGTTTGAGTTTCTATGTCTCTGAAGAGAATAGGAATCCGAAGTTGCTGCACCATTGGACTGAACCCTTTTTCAATAATTTCTAGAGACATAAATGACTGCACCATTCGACAGGGTCGAGTTTCCACCTCTCTGAATATAGAAAATCAAAATAATGTATCTTGTAAGACACCATTGAGTTTGACTTTAAATATAGTCGTGCATAGGTATAGAGCCGAAAAATATAAAAACAAAGCACGATTCAATACAGTTCTAATAAAACTTTAAGATTTAGTATTCAAACGCGGAGTCATCCTATACAGTTCTATATTTTTCCGTTTGCTGTGCAGAGATGTCTTAGAACGTTTTTTTAGGGCCCCAGAGGGGAAATCTGCGGCGGTTTTAGCGACGCAGCCTGGGGAAGGCCTCAAGGGAAAAGTCACTATGTTTTGTCGGAAAGGGCTTTTCTTTTCACCCTGTATAACCACCAAGATCTGCCGCCAACGCAGTTTCACTTGAACAAGAAGCCGTTTGCCATATGCTATCATCCAGAGTAAGTTTGAATTTCAGCAAATTTTCGCAATTAATTTTGTGAATTTTGGAGTTTTAAAAATCTTTTCAAACCCTTTCATTTGATACCCATATCAAGGAGGTTGTAAAGAAATCCGCCATATTGGATTTATTTATTTCTTTCTATCTCTCTCTTGCTTATGCACAGCCACTCATTTTTTACGCCACTACGTATACATCGTACGTATATATACGCGTTATCTGCGACGTCACTAGGCGCTGTTTGTGTCAAAATTAAAAGTGAAAAATAAATAAAATAAATAATTAATCATTATTTATCAAATTATTTTTTTATGAAATTATTTCTTTATCAAGTTATTTTTGTATCAAAATTGTTTATTAAATTATTTTCCATGCAGAGGTATCACAAATTATTAATGGGTGAAGAATTATTTGATAAAAGACGACGGGTCCATTTCATCATTAAATTTTTACTGCATCAGACATTAATAATTTTTGATTCCCATAGAAAATAATTTGATAAAAAATAGTTTGATAAAAAAAAATTTGATAAAGAAATAATTTCATGAAAAAATAATTAAAAAAAAATAATTTGGTAAATAATGCATGTTGTTAATTATTTAGGTATAAAGCAAAAACACATTTTTAGAATGTCAAAATGAAAAATATTTTTTTAAGATTATCAAAACAAAATTTAGATTGTCAAAACCATATTTAAGAATATCAAGATATTTAAGAACGTAAATACACATTTTAAGAATGTTAAAATGCCAAAGAAATCTTTAAAAATGTCAAAACAAGTTTTAGCTTGTCAAAACCATATTTAAAAATGTCAAGGCATTTAAGTGCGTAAAAACACATTTTAAGAATGCCAAAACAAAATTTAGATTGTCAAAACCATATTTAAGAATGTTTAGACATTTAAGAACGTAAAAATGTCAAAACAAGTTTTAGCTTGTCAAAACCATATTTAAAAATGTCAAGATATTTAAGAGCGTAAAAACACATTTTAAGAATGTCAAAACTAATTTTAGATTGTCAAAACCATTTTTAAGAATGTTAAAACCTTTAAGAATGTAAAAAGCACATTTTAAGAATGTCAAAATGTATACATATCTTTAAGAATATCAAAACAAAATTTAGATTGTAAAAACCATATTTAAGAATGTCAAGATATTTAAGATTGTCAAAACCATATTTAAGAATGTCAAGATATTTAAGAACGTAAAACACATTATAGGAAATCTTTTAAAATGTCAATACATTTTAAAGCGTAAAAACACATTTTAAAAATGTCAAAATGCAAAACATCTTTAAGAATATCAAAACAAAATTTAGATTGTCAAAACCATATTAAATTTTAAGAATGTCAAGATATTTAAGAACGTAAAAACATTACAGAAATGTCAAAATGCCAAACAAATCTTATAAAATTTCAAAACAAGTTTTAGATTGTCAAAACCATATTTAAGAATGTCAAGATATTTAAGATCTTTAAAACACATTATAGGAAATCTTTTAAAATGTCAATTTTAGATTGTCAAAACCATTTTTAAGAATGTCAAGACCTTTAAGAACGTCAAAAACAGATTTTAAGAATGCAAGAGGCTATTGACTGTGGTCTTTCTGCCCAGTTTATACAATATCATTAATTTCAGTATTTGATAGTTATACAAAAAAAACGTTACTCTTAATAATAATTTAATATTTTTTGGTCCTCCTTGCCAATTTCTGCGATTTTCTTCAATAGTGTTTTAGTAGGGTATTTCCTTTTGGTAGGCAGGTGTTGGTCTCTACTTTGCATTAAATTATTTTACAATTATTGTTTGTTGTGGGGCTTTTTTTGCAAATTGTCCTGCCAGGTATTTGAACCGTTTTAAGATGGGTGTGATCTGTCTTGGTTTCATATTGTAGCGAGTACCGCCCTGGATATCAGAGTGATGACTCATCGCCGATTAGTCATTGCCGGTGAGTCATCGCCGGTGACTCAGCGCTCGAATAATCGAGAGTGTGGAGCTCGCTGGAATGTTCCAGAAGACCTTGGCGCTGAGTATATAAGAAACGGAGCAGCACACGGCAGTCAGTTAAGATTTGGTACTCGCGGCGAAATAAATAAATATAAGTGCAAATAAATAGACTCTTGAACAATAGTGATATATAAATAATTAGTAGTTAAGTGTTTAGTTAGTTTTATAGTGTTTTAAGTGTAGTTAAGTTATTAAATAAATAGTTTAGTTCGTTAATTAACCAGTGCGTGTTTTAATTCACACTACGAACAGTTAAAAACGTTACAATTGGTGTCAGGAGTGCGGTTAGTGTGAAATTTCGCGAAAATGGTTTCGTTAATGGACTTAAAAGTGGCGGACCTTAAGCGGGAGCTAGAAGAAAGAGAATGTGATACAACTGGAAAAAAGAATGTGTTGCAGCAGCGGCTTCGAGAAGCGTTGGAACAGGAAGGTGAAAATCCAGATACGTATTTATTTGAAGGTTCGTGTGATATGCATTTATTGTTGCAAAATTTAAAGGATGATTTGCAACAGAAAATGGTGGAAAATTCTAGCGATTTAAAAGATTTACAACAAAAAATTCTGGAAAATTCCAACGAGTTGCAACAAAAAATGTTGGAAAATTCAAACGAGTTACAACAGAAAATGTTAGAAAATGTCAACGATTTAAAGGATGATTTGCAACAGAAAATGTTGGAAAATTCAAACGAGTTGCAACAGAAAATGCTTGAAAATTCTAAAAACCTAAAAGAATATTTGGAAGGGAAGATTCTAGAAAATGTCAATGAATTAGAAGAGAAAGTTGACGATGTAAGGATGGAATTAAATAACGTAAGGATGGAATTGGATACGAGAGAAGAAAAATTGAACGAGAAATTGGAGGTCAAAATTAGAGAAATAAATAGTAAACTGAAAGCTGTAAATTTACCTATGATGCTGACGGAACCAGGAGTATTGCAGGAGGGAAGCCGAGTACGGATGAAACCACCTCAGTTCGATGGAAAAACTTCTTGGACCAACTACATCCGTCAGTTTGAGGCAGCAGCAAAAGCAAATGGCTGGCTACCGGAAGAAAAAGCTACAGCATTGACTCTGGCTTTACGCGGAGATGCAACGGACATCTTGCAGACGCTTTCTCCCAACGAACAAGAAGATTACGAAGCGTTGGTGAAACATCTGGAACTTCGATATGGCCAGACACATTTGGAACATGTCTACCATTCCCAACTTAAGAACCGCTGCCAGAAATCAAACGAGACTTTGCAAGAATTCGAGGCTGATATTGCACGCTTGGTCCGGCTAGCATATCCAGCTACTCCAACGACCGTTATGGAACGATTAGCGGTTCAAGCCTTTTTGGATGGACTTCGAGACAACGAAACAAGACAGGCTCTAACACTGGCTCGTCCGAGCCAACTGGTTGATGCATTGGCTCGAGCTCTGGAATTCGAGGCGGCAAAGCAGAGCTGCAGGAGCCAGCCTAGAATAAGGAGAGTCGATGAAGAGAAAGAGGAGGAACCCAGAATAATTGAAGCAATCAGGCGAGTTTTTAAAGAAAATCTACCAGAGAAGAAGGAAATCCGGTGTTGGAGATGTGGAAAGCTAGGACATATACGAAGTCGTTGCAGAGAAAGCCAGGTGGCGCCGACTTCGTCTCAGTCGGAAAACTAGATAGGGTCGAGGAAAAGGGGCCACCGTCGACCTGTAACCAGCATGCCCCAGAAGATATCGAACGTGTTGCATCTCTTTTACACCAGTCCAGCAGTGTTTTTGTGGATGGTTTAATTAATGGAAAATTACATGTGCTGCTGCTGGATACAGGTGCGACGAAGACAATTATTAGGCCAGATATTGTCGAAATGTCCAAGATCAAATCTACCAATAGGCGACTACGTACTGCAACAGGAGATACTGCTACTGTTCATGGAGAAGTGGACATCACGATGGTCATAGGAAACACTAAATTTAAACATCGAGCATTAGTAGCAGATATTGAAGATGAAGTTATTGTAGGCATGGACATTATGAACTCTATAGGATTTGAATTAAACTTTCAACAAGGAATATTGAGAGTAAATGGAGAGGAAGTCGTGTTGCATCGATCTAAAGAGAAGAATATTCGTGTGATGCTAACAGAAGATGCTTTGATACCGGAGAACAGCGAGATGATATTGAAGGCTTTCTTGGATTGTAAATCAGAAGATGGAAGTATAATGCTTCTGGAGCCGAGAATTGATGACAAAGAGGTCGGTCGAGGAATTGTAGTAGGGAAGACTTTAATACGTGTCGGAAAAGAAGTGCCTGTTAGAGTATTGAATGTTAATGGTTACTCTGTGAACTTGAAGAAAGGAATCGTTTTGGGAAACTGTTCTTCAGTTTCCTCGATTATTAGAGGCATTCGTGAGTCAGGAGTTCCGACCAAGAAAGTTAGCAATGAATTGACGAATCTTCTATCGACTTCTTCAAAGGATTTGAAACCCAATGAAAGGATAAAACTGAAAGAGCTGATTCACAATTATCAGGATGTCTTTGACGACGGACAAGGAAAGAAGGGTAGGACAAGAATTGTCCAACATAAAATTAACACCGGTGATGCACAGCCCATTCGACAGTCGGCAAGAAGGCTACCACTTGCCAAGCGAGAGGAAGCTGATAAAATTGTGCAAGAAATGGAGAAGGAAGGGGTGATCGAACCATCCAACAGCCCATGGTCTTCCCCAGTGGTGTTAGTTAAGAAAAAGGATGGATCAACTCGATTTTGCGTCGATTTTCGTCAACTGAACAACGTGACGAAGAAGGACAGCTACCCTCTGCCTAGGATAGATGACACCCTGGATACATTGGCTGGATCCCAAATATTTTCGACTCTGGATTTGAAAAGCGGTTACTGGCAGGTTGAAATGGCACCAGAAGATAGAGAAAAGACGGCGTTTACCGTGGGTGCTGGACTGTGGCAGTTTACTGTCATGCCGTTTGGACTATGTAATGCCCCTGCAACTTTTGAAAGGCTCATGGAAATGGTTTTGAAGGGACTATCCTGGAAGACATGCTTGGTGTACCTTGATGACATCATTGTGGTTGGGAAATCATTTGAGGACCATATGAGGAACCTGAAGGAAGTCTTTCATCGCTTAAGAAGTTCTGGCCTGAAGCTTAGCCCAAAGAAATGTCACTTGTTCCAGAAGGAAGTGCAGTATCTGGGCCATGTCGTTTCAAGTCAAGGAGTTGCAGTGGATAAACAGAAGGTGAAGACGGTGCGGGAATGGCCAGTACCGAAAAACAAACATGACTTAAGAAGCTTTCTTGGATTATGCACCTACTACCGGCGGTACGTACCTGGATTCGCAAAGGTTGCTAAGCCTTTGACACGTTTAACAGAGGGAGAAAGACGATTTCAATGGGACGAAGAATGCCAAGAAGCCTTTAAGAACCTGAAAAACGCGTTGACCAGCTCACCAGTACTGAGTTATCCTCTTCCGGATGGTGAATTTATTTTGGACACGGACGCCAGCAATGTAGGCCTGGGAGCTGTTTTGTCGCAGATTCAAGAAGGAAAAGAGAAAGTTATTGGATACTTCAGTAAAACTCTATCGAAACCAGAGAGAAATTACTGTGTTACTCGACGCGAGCTCTTGGCAGTGGTAAAATCAGTCGAACACTTTTACAAGTATCTGTATGGAAGAAAATTCTTGCTAAGAACGGATCATGCTGCCCTAAAATGGCTTTTGCAATTCAAGAACCCTGAAGGACAGGTAGCAAGATGGATTGAGAGACTACAGGAGTTTGACTTTGACACAGAACATCGGGCTGGGACCATCCATAGAAATGCTGACGCCTTGTCAAGAAGACCGTGCCCGGAAGACTGTAAACATTGTCTCAGGGCAGAAGAAAAGGATGTGTTTGTTCGGAGGACTACAATCGTGGATGATCATTGGCAATCCGCTGAGGTTCAACAAGACCAGGAAAGGGATCCGGATTTGAAGCTTATCATCGATTGGAAGAAGAACGACCGTAAACCAACGTGGCAGGAAGTCGCCCAATATTCGCTGAATGTGAAATCGTACTGGGCCCAATGGAATTCCATCATCTTAAGTGACGGGCTTCTAAAGCGCGTTCTGGAGATGCCAGAAGGGGGGGAAGACCGGAAGCAGATAATAATCCCCAGAAACAGGATACCAGAAGTGCTGCAGGAAATCCATGATGGAACTACTGGAGGACATCTTGGGGTGACCAGGACGCTCGGAAGACTTAGGGAACGGTTTTATTGGGTCAACAGCCAACGAGATGTGAAGGAATGGTGCAAGAAGTGCGCCGTTTGCGCGGCAAGCAATGGACCCCAGAAGCGCCCAAAAGCCCCAATGCGACAGTACAATGTGGGCAGCCCATTTGAGAGAATTGCAATCGATGTGGCGGGTCCATTTCCGGAAACAGAGTCTGGAAATAAATACATCATCGTTGTAATGGATTACTTCAGCAAGTGGGCGGAAGCGTACGCCTTGCCAAACCAGGAAGCTGCCACAGTGGCCGATGCCCTTATTAAGGAGTGGATTTGTCGTTTTGGTGTGCCAATGGAGATGCATTCAGACCAAGGCAGGAACTTCGAATCTATATTGTTCCAGAATGTCTGTAAGATTCTTAACATTCGGAAGACGAGGACGACTGCATTACATCCGCAGTCTGATGGAATGGTAGAACGAATGAATCGAACGATAAACCGGTACCTGTCCAAAGTAGTCTCTGATCACCAAAGAGACTGGGACCACTTCCTCCATCTGTTCCTGTTGGCGTACCGTTCTTCTATCCATGATACAACCGGCCAGACACCCGCTAGCATTGTTATGGGACGTGAACTTCGTCTACCTTGTGACCTGAGGTTTGGTTGCCTACCAGGGGAAGATGTTGCTGGAGAAGATTACGTTAGCAATTTACGTAGCAAAATGAGCGACATTCACAGCCGAGTTCGTTTAAACATCCAAAGTGCCAGTGATAGAATGAAAGAGGCATACGACATCAAGGCGGAAAATGGAGGATTTCAAGCTGGAGACCTAGTTTGGTTATACAACCCTCAGCGCCGTCGTGGTTATTCACCGAAGCTGCAGACTTCTTGGGAAGGACCATACGAAGTAATGGATCGCATAAATGACATCATCTACAGGATCAGAAAACAACCAAGAGGAAAGCCGAAAGTGATCCATTTTAACCGATTGGCTCCTTACGCTGGAAACAATGATGACCAAATAAACCATGCTAGAGTAAGACGAGTTAATCCTCCGGAAGACGAGTTGCTTTTTGAAGACTTCATGTATTTATATTCGAGCGGTAAAAAAGCTCGCTTTGGTGTCACTCGAGAAGAACAACAAGATCTGTTCACGGTTTCGGCCGATTACTCCTTGGCTCACTGTGTTGCAGAAGACCTAAGGATGTCCAGGGGAATAGCGGTTGTTTTTAAAAACAAGTTTGGACGGATCGACGAGCTACGAAGGCAGAATCCCAAAGTTGGAGAGGTGCTTGAAATTGTGAATAATGAGCAGACAGGCAATAGAAGTATCTTCTATCTGGTAACGAAGCAACTCTCCCATCAGAAGCCAAACTACCGTGACGTATGGAATGCCTTAAATAAATTGAGGGATGCCCTTTTATCCAAGGACATCATGAACCTGGCGATACCGAAGATTGCTTGTGGACTTGACGGTTTAGACTGGAGAATAATTAGAAGTATGGTGGAAGTTATCTTCAGATTTAGTGGCATACACATTCTTGTCTGTTGCCACAACCCTAAAAGAACAACCGGAAGGAAGACCGTAGACTGCTACTTCTATAGGACGTCACAATGCAAGTTTGGATCTCTATGCAAATATCGCCATGGAGCTGAGGACCATTTTCGGGACGAAAATGTTTTAAGACGGGGGCAATGTAGCGAGTACCGCCCTGGATATCAGAGTGATGACTCATCGCCGATTAGTCATTGCCGGTGAGTCATCGCCGGTGACTCAGCGCTCGAATAATCGAGTGTGGAGCTCGCTGGAATGTTCCAGAAGACCTTGGCGCTGAGTATATAAGAAACGGAGCAGCACACGGCAGTCAGTTAAGATTTGGTACTCGCGGCGAAATAAATAAATATAAGTGCAAATAAATAGACTCTTGAACAATAGTGATATATAAATAATTAGTAGTTAAGTGTTTAGTTAGTTTTATAGTGTTTTAAGTGTAGTTAAGTTATTAAATAAATAGTTTAGTTCGTTAATTAACCAGTGCGTGTTTTAATTCACACTACGAACAGTTAAAAACGTTACAATATTATCATTTTATTAAATTATTTTCCACTGAAATAAAAAATTATTCATGACTGAAAATTATTTAATAAAAGACGACGGGCGCATTTTATTAATAAATTTTTACTGCAGCAGTCATTAAAAATTTTTGATTCACATAAAAAATAATTTAATAAAAGAATAATTTGATATGAAATAATTTGGTAAATTGTACAAATCACAAAATACCTCGCTAAAAGGTCGAAGCTTTATATAATACAGGTATATTTCTATATATTTATCAAATTATTTTTTATGAAATTATTTCTTTATCAAATAAATTTTTTATAAAATTATTTTTTATTAAATTATAATGCAAATTAAAAATTATTGATGACTAAAAAATTATTTGATGACGGGCGCATTATGAATAAATTTTTACTGCAGTCATTAGTAATTAGTAAATTGTTAAAAAAATTATTTTGCACTTTTAATTTTGACATGTGACCATTTGTGGCCAACTTCATACCGTCGGATTTTCGTTGCCTTCCAACGCATAAACATTAAACATTTTTTTTAGTTCCGGTCCAATATTTGGCGCGGGCGCGGACCTGTTAATATCCAGCAATTGCAACACCAACATGGACAGTTACTCGAATTTGCCGCACACCTACGACGGTGAAGGCGCCTCGCCCTCCATTCTGATGGGCGACTACAATTTCACAGTGGCGGACTACGAAGTTTTCACCCCCATGAATTCCTCCTCGAAAATATCCAAAAACGAAAGATATCAATAGACGATCAAGGTAAGGCTTTTATTTAAATGGAAACTATTGTGTTCAAAGTTTAAGAAATTTATAAAAATACTCAACAAATGCTATAAAATAAATAATAAAAACAGTTATAGCGCTTACATTACTTTAAAATCCTACTGTTTAGGTATTCTTATTTACATGAGGTAAGTAATAAAGATAATAAATAACATTTTTTAATCACACGATCCGTCTATCCAGCCGTCTCGCCATCTTTGATTCACTTTTGTGCAGTCAAACTCTTTTTTTCCTGTTTTTACGTTTATTACATTGTGAATTTTGCACAACCATTGACTGAGGGCTTCTTGCGACTCTGTCTTTGGCGGAAACTGCTTCAACCTAAAATAAAATTGTGTAAAATGTCTATTCAAACTATAAATATGACAAAACCATCTTAAAAAGTCCTATAATCGGCTTCCCCAACTTACTCTTCTCGAAACTCTTCAGCACAATGATCGCACGGATAAAACTTGGAAAATATGGTAAAAAACGTCTTCATTTCCTTTTGCTGGCTTGCATCGGGTTTTTTGGGGTACTTTGCTGCCATCGTATGCAGAAAACCCCATGTTTTACTACCCAGTTCGTCCTTATCTAAAGGACAATCGGGCCTCCGTGGCATCTCTACAAATGCCTGCAATTTCAACACAACAACCAATATTTTTTACATCGGAAAAAATATATTATAAACTCACTTCAGAGTCTTTTTTCTTGGTTTGTCTAACATAATCGGAAAAACTCGAACATTGCCTGCACTGCTCGCTATCCAATGGAGACGGTCTTCGAGACATCAAAGCAAATTCATATCTCTACCTTTTTTAAGTAGTATTACCTAATTTAACGCAAAATCGCCTCTTATCTGTCAATCATAAATTTTTTTGACGTTTAAAAACTTATCTGTCATAAACTATGGTGCCGTAGTGATACCAACGTTAAGTTTATTAGGTTGGCTATTCTGCTTAAATCAAAACATCAATATTTTGCTCAAGAAAAAACGTTAATTGGCGATTTTGGTGAAAAAAACATAACAATATTATCGTAAATTTGGGTCCAGAACACTATAGCACACTCTGAATTTCCAAAAAAAAAATTTACCATTTGAAAAAGGACGTTTTAAATAGTAAATTTCATAAATAAAAATTGCGGGTTTTTCACTAGTTTTTGAGAAAATTAAGTTTGAAAATGCTTTTTTTGACAGATTTTTTGACAAGAACTGTCAAGAAATGTCAGATTCAAAGAAATTCATCGCAATGTTGCCAGATGTAAAATTTTTACGCAGTTTGGGGAAATTTATTATGCAACCCAGATTACATAAAATTATTCCTAATTACATAGGGGAGCGCCGGGAGGGTTTGGACACTGGGAGGCATTGGACACACTCATAATTACCGCCTAATTAAAGAAGGGGTGGAAACAGAAACGTAACTAAAAGCGTATTTGAACGTCCCTGATATCTGTCTAGAAGCGAAGCAATCACGTCTTTTCGTTTCGCGGCACTGCCATTTTCCTATTTTTCCACGTGTTCATTCCAATATTACCAGTTGTAAACTCTGCTTTTAACAAACTAATTTTGAGATTTTTTGGTTGCTTCATTGATTACCAGTATAAGGAAAACTTTAAAAATTAAAGGGTATTGTTACTTTGAAAATGTATATACATAATTTATAATATTTTGGGTTTTATTAATCAAACTACCTTGCGGGAGGGTATGGACGACCGTCCAAAGAAGTCGTTGTAGATAGCAACTATCTGATAGCTATAACGTGAAATTAAAAAAAAAACAAGTGGCTTCCAACCACAACATTTGTGTCATATGAGGAAGTGATTTTGAAACTATCAAATCCTTTAACAGACCGAAGTGTCAGATATGGACATGATATATTTTAATGTTGATGTTATCGAGTACAACTTACGTTAATGCTAAAGTTATTGATTAATAAACAATTTTTTACTAAATATTTTATTTGTTTTTAAAGTGTTTTTTTTGTCAAACAAATGTTTTGCATAATATATTTGCTTAATTATTGTTTGTCCAAACCCTCCCCATCGTTGGGGAGGGTTTGGACATAATACATTAAAAAAATATAAGTATTTATTTCATGCTTATGTCATGTTTTTTTCAAAAAACAAAAGAAAAATGTATGTAAGAGACATGTATCAACCAGTTTGACTACAAAATTTTAGTTATTTTTTATACGTGTCCACGCTATAATTATTTATTTAAATATTGTCCAAACCCTCCCGGCGCTCCCACATACATGAATACATGAAATATTTTTTTGTTCCGTCCACGACGGTTCATTATTAAAAAAATTATCTCGTTTTATAAAATATTTCTTGTGTTTCTTTTATTTAATGTATAGCCTTATATAAAATATTTATTTTTGACAATTTTGATGCCAAAATAATATACCTATAATAAATTACCATCAATTTTTTTTTATAAAAGTTTTGTGATTTGTGCCGTCCGCGTGATTGAAATTGCCGTTACTTGTAAAAATATTTATTTTCAATTTTTCGAGGAAAAGTCACTCTTCATAATTTCTTCTGATTGTTACATATATAAATACCATTCACGATGAGAAATACAATTGTAGATTTTGCAAAATTAAAAATTGTTAAATATTTTTTTTGAAGGTCTAATATGAAGAGCTTGTAAGGAGAAACCAAAAAAAAACTTGTTATTAAAAATAAAATCAATTCAGGTCCTAACTTGAATGGTTCTATTATTTTGTAGAAATTGAGTGGTATCTCATTTTGTGATTATGAACAAAGGTTGTTGCTTTACTAGAGGCTAAATGTAGCAAAGTATTCCTCAAGGTTATGACGATTAGCTGTCATCTTGGTTACTTTGCTACATATACTTTGCTACATTTAGGCTCTAGTGTTGCTTTCAAATTTAAAAACTAATATCTTAAATTTTCAATATCAAATATCTTAGTATCAAAAACTCATATGAAAAAACTTCATTTGACTTTTTGATTTCTTCTTACCAGCTCTTTATATTAGCGCTTAAAAAAAATATTTAAAAATGTTTGCTTACCCTGTACAACAAAATGTTTCTCGACGCGAATCGTATTTATATAACAATCAAAAGAAATGATCAAAAATGACTTCCTTAAAAAATTAATATTTAATTCCATCCGTGGATATATATATAATTATATTTTAAACAAATAAAAACCAGATATTTTTTATGTATTTATTAACATAACATTTAATAAAAAAACACAAAACACAAATATATACTCAAATATGCATCCAAGTCAATTAAAAATTGAAAGCTTTGCCCATAGGGCCAATGGGACGACCGACGTAAACGTCGACCGCCACTAAAGTCACATTGTTTTGAGCTGCAATCAGTTATTCAAACAGGGCTAAAGTCACATTGTTTTGAACCACCGAGCAAGTTGGGTTAACCAAATGTTCTAACCTGCGGTTCCTCTAATGCTGAGCAGGATTACCAAAGGGAACCTGTTATTTGCGTATTACTATCGCAGCGACGCGTCATAGCTGATGGCTCATCAGGGCCGGTTTATCAATATCCAGTTAAAGTTGCAGTAAGTTACCTGGCAGATAATTTCCATGGATACCATTGTTCTCACAACGATCAATATATAATTTAACTGTCAGATAGACTAACTGGAACTTAACCAAAAGTTGATAAACCGGCCCTCAATAATGTAAAACTAACCTGTCTAAAATATCTCCCAGATATTGATGAAAAATAATATCTATTTTAATATTTTAAGAATTGAATGCAATTTTTTTTCAAAAATATAGAAGATTAAAAATTTTAAGAAAAGAAATGTATTGTAGCTATTAGTTTTTAAAAACTTATTTAGAAATAGATTGCATGATAATAATAGTTCAAATTAATTATTACCTAAATAACTTAAATCTATATCAACTTTCTAATGCTAAGAAAATTATACCATTATATTAATGTATACCCTGTATTAAGATACAAATGGACAAATACTAATAATATAAATGTCTTATTATTAAAAAGTTGAAGATAGACTTGAAGTTATTGACCTAATAATTAATTTACTAGTATTTTTATACATTTATTCCTAAATAAGTTTTAAAAGATTAAAATATGCATATAAAATTATTATGGATATCGTTGGCTGATTTGGATGCATAAATTATTAAAGCGAGTGGGAGCTGAACCCCCACCATATATATCATTCCATAGAAATTGATCTATATGTTCATTCAAAAACGGGGACCCAATTACTCCCAACCGCCTTAAATACTGTTTTAGTTTGCTCCAATAACCTTCCACATGATTGGTACATACACCGGTCACCGGATCCCGAAAATTTCGTGAGTGGTTTACGGTCTGGTGTATGTATCCATGATGTCGAAGGCTATTGTAGGCTCTCCATTGATCAGTCCAGATCTCACAGCCGACTTGTACGTGGTTTCTTACAATGGGAATAAGTACTTGGGCACTTCGGTTTTCAACGTACTGTATAAAACCTCTACTGTTTGCCGTATCGTAAATCCCCAAAATCCACTTTTCCGGAACTAAACGTCCACGATGGTATTTTCTCTTCGTTATAACGGACTCGTCGATCTGAACCACAACTCCTGGGCCTCTTTAAATAAATAAAAAATGTAACATTATTTCCTTAAGGAATTGCAATCCTAATGAAAACGCAAATGTCGAACAAAACGAGTAGGTACATGACATGACATTGTGCTAAGGTACAGATTAAGCCCGCCTAGGCAACTTGTAAAGTCAATCAGTTTTTACAAAGTACTTGCACACGTAATCATGCAGTAATCAGTAAATAAATGTCGAGCGAAGCGAGGTGTACTTGGTCTAAGGAAATGAGGCCGCCTAGGCTCTTTGTAAAAGTAATTAAATTAAATAAGTGCCGAGCGAAGCAAGGTGGGCTTGGTCAGTGCCTGAGCCCAATTTCGCGCGCACTAAATTGGGCTCAGGCACTGACCAAGCCCGCCTAGGCTCTTGATAAACGTAATTAAATTAAATAAATGCCGAGCGAAGCGAGGCGGGCTTGGTCAGTGCCTGAGCCCAATTTCGCGCGCGCAAAATTGGGCTCAGGCACTGACCAAGCCCGCCTAGGCTCTTGGTAAACCTAATTAAATTAAATAAATGCTGAGCGAAGCGAGGCGGGCTTGGTCAGTGCCTGAGCCCAATTTCGCGCGCGCAAAATTGGGCTCAGGCACTGACCAAGCCCGCCTAGGCTCTTGGTAAACGTAATTAAATTAAATAAATGCCGAGCGAAGCGAGGCGGGCTTGGTCAGTGCCTGAGCCCAATTTCGCGCGCGCAAAATTGGGCTCAGGCACTGACCAAGCCCGCCTAAGCTCTTTATAGTTTAAATTAAATGAAATAAATGCCGAGCGAAGCGAGGCGGGCTTGGTCAGTGCCAAAGCCTAATTTCGGGCTTGGTCAGTGCCTGAGCCCAATTTCGCGCGCAAAAATTGGGCTCAGGCACTGACCAAGCCCGCCCAGGCTTGGTCAAACGAAAACGCCCAGACGCGTGATTCTGATAGTGTGACTAGGACAACAAAAAATATAATAAAATAAATTGTACTTACCCAGCAAAAACGGATCCTGCATAAGCTTCCAGGATAAAATATCCCTAATATATCGATAGGTTTGAACTATCCGCCCACGACGAGTACCCATAATTTGGGAGACGGGGCCAGTCCTGACCTCGCAAGCCCAATACCACATAATGTGGCTTACGTCGCGGACAGGTACTTTCATTGCGTCGAAAAAACTATCCGTGAGGACACTGTAATCCTTTTTGCATCTTATACAGAAAAAGGCATGGTCCAGGACATAAACTCCAGCTCTGGGTCTTAAAATGCAAATTCTCCTACAGTTCCTCACTTTACAGCGTAACTGGGCTTTTACAAGTCCAGCCTGCTGTAATGCTGTTATTAACTCTCCATCTGACTTAGATGTTAGCTCGTAAACATTATGAATGTTTTGAATATTCATTTTGGAATAAGTAGCAAATAGCACAAATAAATTGACACTACTAAATTTACCAATTAAATGACAACTGCAATAATAACAAATTTTGTTTTAAAACAAAATGTTTAAATTAAGTGCAAAAATTAATCCAATACCTAATATAAATAATTTATTTTAATAATTACATGTACAAGTATTTCAATTGAAATTATTTAAAGTATTTAATTAAATGATAATAATATAATAAATATGGTGTTATATGGGTTGCCTACGTAGGTACCGTTAATTAAGATAATATTATATTATTATTCCTATATCTACCTAAAAATTTTGCCCATTCTTGCGTAATTTCAATATTTCCTTTAATGTTTAGCATATTTCGGAATTTATTTTGATACAATATACATTTTCTATTACAAAATACTGTAATACTTTTGCAAATTTTAAACTTGGCAACATTGAAATACATGATTACCAACCTTAAAACACTAATTCTGTTATTTTAAATTGTGACAGTTAAAAATTCAGTGCTGTACATAGAAAAGGTGACAGTTTTAAGCAAGTTTTATTGATTTTAACACTATTAACAAATATTTTAGTGAAAGTTTCGTTTTTCCGCACCTAAATATGCTTAAAATGTGGTTTTATAACCATTTGTGTCGAAAATTTACAATAAAAATTGGAATTTGGGAGTGTGCTATTGTGTACTGGAACCGTAAAGGGTAGTTAAATACCTAATTTAACGTAAAATCGCTTCGTTTCGACGTACAAAAATCAATCTGTCAAAAACGCAGTGATGCCAACGTACTGTGTTTGACGTCTGTCAATTAATCAAATCATGAATATTCTGCCCAAAAAAAGGTAAATTAGCGATTTTTGTGAGGAAAAAAGTGAAAAATATCGTAAATTTTAGGTGGCATGTTCGAACGAAGGATAATATCGCCAGAGTTCGCAGAGATGAGGCCAACGCGGCTGAGGAGGAAAAAAATAAACAAGAACGAATAAAACTTGCTGTAAGTTTTCGCATAAAACGTTTAAAATGGTTTGTGTATATCAATTTTTATAGGAGAGAGAAGCAAGAAGGGAATTATTACTACAAAAATCCAGATTAAACACTGGTTACAAGGAGTTTATCCCTCTCGAAGAATCTTCAACAGAAAATTTAGAACATGTAAATCTTTTTCGCGATATTGAAGAGGGAACAGCAGAACAGAAAAAATCGAATAAAGAACACGATAAAGAGCAAACGCAGGAGAAGGAAAAATACGAAAAACAAATAGGTTATTTAACGTATTTAGGGCAAGATACAAACGAGGCTTTAGGCAAGAAAAGTTGGTATGAAACTTTACCGGATAGACATGGTAAAGGGGAGGTCAATTTAAAAACTAAATTGAGGGAGGATCCCCTGAATGTAATTAAAAAATACGTGGAAATGGGAAAAGCAATTGAAGAAAAAAACTCTAAATATGTTAGTCCTATAAGTAATGTTGTTATGGAAGAAAAAAGTGTTTATGTGAGTGATAAAAAAAGAAAACGTCGTGAAAGTTCCAGCGACGAAAAAGCTCCCAAAAAACACAGACACAAAAAGCACAAGAAACACAAAAGAAAAAAAGTTGAGAGTTCGTCAGATTCTGAAGAGGAAACGGCTAAAAAAGTTAATCTGGAAATGTTAAGGATGCAGAGAATTAAACGGGAGAGGGAAGAACGAAAAAAGGCGGAACAGCTTTTGCAGGATTTAAATCCCAAGAAAAGTGATGACAACAAAACTAAAAGTAGACCCCAAGTGCAGAGGAAATATAATTCACAGTTTAATCCTGATCTGGCTAAACAAAATTATTATTGAAATTAAAATAAAAAATTTTGTTATTATATTGTTATAAGTTTTAAATTTTTTAGCTTTTAGACAAAAAAAAAGGTCTTTATTGGGTTAACCAAAGGACTTAGGTCCTTCTGCACATTGCTTTTAGACAATTAAATCTCATTTTAACTTTTTTACAAAATTGACAAATTTTGTCAACATTTTTTAGAGGATTTTTTTTAGGAAACCTAATGGCATTTTAAATCATCATACATTAACCAACCAAGCACCTCAAATTCACTTTACAGCGAAATAATTCAATCGAATAAAAGAAAAAGTAATGAAATTCCTCAAATTACTATAACAAAAATCCAAGATCCAACAAATTCACCAATCTGTAAAACCCCAAATACTCCCAACACCCCAAATAATCTTCCATTTAAAGAAGTCACGTACAAAAAGAAAAGAATAATCAATATCGGAACATCCACACAAACACCTTCTACTGATGGTTTTGTAGGAAGAGACGAATCAAATAAAAAGGCCTGGCTATTTATTTCAAGAGCAAAAGATCACGTTACAGCTGAAAACGTTAAAAAATATATTATAAGGGAAACAAAATTAACTGATAGTGATGTAATAACTAAAGAAATAAAAACGCAATATGAACGAAAAGATAGCAAGTGCTTTATGATAGGGGTTAAATTTTCCCACAAAGATATGCTTTATGAAAAAGACTTTTGGCCACAAGGTATTGCCTTTAGAAGATATAAGTTTAACTTCGACAAAAATAAAGATCTACCAGAAAACAAACAAACTACAAACTCTGGCGATTTTTTATCCAAACAAAATCAACAAGATCCAAAAAACTAAACACAAAAAAACAAACATCAAAAATCTTACATATACAATCTGCTTCAGGTTATTTCGAATCTCAAAACCACGACAGTTCAATTAAATCAACCAAAGCTAATAGACAAAATTATAAACCAACCATCGAACAAACAACACACAAAAAAGTAACTCACAGCATAATACATCAAAATCTGCAATCAATTGGAAACTGCGCTGATCAATTACAGCTACTTTTAGAGGACAATCCAGAGTGTATATGCTTCTGTGCCAGTGAGCATTGGAAGTCTGAGGAGCAGCTCAAATCTTACAACTTCAGAGATTACAAAATGATTACAAATTTCTGTCGAAATAGTGGCTCACATGGAGGCACTGTAATATACTGCAGAGACGGCTTCAAATCAAAATTGAGAAAAGACCTACAAACTGAAGCTGAGCAAAAAACATTTGAATGCTCAGCTGCAGAAGTGTGCGTCGAAAACAATCGATTTATATTAATATGCATCTACAGAACACCGGATTCTGATACAGAGGTTTTCTTCAAGAAGCTCCAAAGCTTGTTAATAAGGGTAGAGAAGGAAAACCTTGACATATATGTAGCTGGGGACTTTAACATATGCATAAAGCAAGAAAACACAGTAAGTAGGCAATTTTTAAACCTAATGAATTCTTTTGGGTTAGAGCCCACTATAGAGGAATATACACGTGTAACAGCAACATCCAAAAGCTGCATTGACAATATATTCACCAATAGGACTGAATTTACCGCAAATGTTATTGTAAACCACATCTCAGATCATAGAGCTCAAAGGTTAGTGTTTCACACAACAGCGAAAAAGGAGTACCCCAACATCAAAAGAATTTTTAGTCTTCAGGCAAAAGAAGCATTCAGAATGAAACTTCAGCAGCAGGATTGGGTCAGCGTATACATGTGTAGTGACAGTGACGTGGAAGGGCAATGGTGTCAATTTGTGAACGTGTTTGTGCCTCTGTTTAATGAATGCTTCCCAAAAGTGCGGGTCATAAAAAGAAAGAAAAAAATCTACAAACAAACAAAAGACATTCAACAATGTAAACATAATCTTGATATTCTATATACCATGAAAAGTTGTGATAGTACCTTTAATCAAGCTTATCAAGGGGCCAAAAAACAATATGATAAATTATTAAGAGGTGCTAGATATTCGGAATATTCAAACAAAATTCAAGAGTCTGATAATAAACCAAAGACCATATGGAATATTGTAAAGGAAATCAAAGGTAACAAAACAAACCGTGATTTGCATATTCCAGGTGATCCTTGGGAAGTAGCAAATGATATTAATAGCTTTATAAATAATGCAGCCATAAGGTTGGTAAACGAAATACCACCTGTAAATATTAACTGTGATATTAGCTATAACTTTAATTCAATGTTTGTGAAAGATGTGTCATATATATGTAGAGATTTTTAATATCATAACAAAGCTTAAAAATAAAACTAGCTGTGGGTTGGACGAAATTCCTCCTACAATTTTAAAATATTGTATGTCTGAGCTATGTTACCCTGTGTGTCATATTGTAAATAACTCGCTAAAATTTGGAATATTTCCCAATAACTTAAAAACTGCATTAATTAAGCCAATTTACAAAAAAGGTGATGCTTCACTTATTGAAAACTATAGGCCTATTAGCTTGCTATCAAGCTTTTCAAAAATATTTGAAATAGCTATGTGTAATAGATTAGTAGACTTTTTTAACCAGTATAATTTGTTTAACAAACATCAGCATGGGTACATAAAGGGTAGAACAACTGAAACTGCTATTTATGAATTTGCAGAGCAGGTGTTAAAAAGTTTTGAAGGAAAACAAAGTTCTTTAGGAATTTTTTTAGACCTAAGTAAGGCCTTTGATTGTTTAAACTATGACATATTGTTCCAAAAACTTGAAAAGTATGGTGTTCGCGGTATTGCATTGAAATGGTTTCAATCATACTTATCGAACAGAAAGCAAAGAGTGCAAATTTGTATAAATAACCAAAAGTTTACTTCAGATGACCTTAATGTATCCCTGGGAATTCCTCAGGGTAGCGTAATAGGTCCAATCTTATTTATTATATATGTGAATGATCTCTATCTATGTCTACCTGCGAACTCTAGTCAATGTATTGTGAGCTATGCTGATGATACTAACATTTTAATAAAATCAAATTCTGTAGAAAACGTACTTAGCCAAGGTCATAATGTAATGTCATGTATATGTAGATGGTTTTCCAATAATAAATTAATTTTAAACGAAACAAAAACGAATTGTATCTTGTTTAAAACAATGTTGTCAAACCAGATAAATATAGAGACAATTACACTAAATAATACAATTATTAAAACGTCATATGACACTAAATTCCTTGGGCTTACGATTGATCAACACCTAAACTGGTCAAAACATCTACAGAGCCTGGGTAGTAAATTAAATAATATTCACTACACAATCAGAGTAATAAAAAAATATGTTCAAATCCCAACTATCAAAATGATGTATTACGCATATTTTGAATCTAGATTAAGGTATGGCATAATATTTTGGGGACAAGGACCAACTGTTCAAGACTTATTCGTGATACAAAAAGCTGTGATAAGAACTATGTTTAATATGAATTTTAAAGAATCTTGTAGAAATGTTTTTAAACAACAAAAAATTTTAACTGTGATTGGTCTTTATGTTTTTGAATTGTTAGTATTTATGTTTAGAAATAGGCATTTATTCTCTAATTTGTACATGTCTTCGCAACGTACCCAAAATCTAATATTTCCACGCCACCGTTTGAGTCAGTATGAGAAAGGTTGTTACTATGCATGTATAAAATGTTTTAATCATTTGCCAAAATATCTTCAGATTGAAACAAAATTGTCAATATTTAAAAAAAAGCTTAAAGATTTGTTAATACATATAGAACCATATAGTTTAGAAGAATTTCAAAATAGATCAATGAATAATTGATACAATTGTTAGTTTATCAATGCATTTATCCTTTGCTTTTGACATTTTTTTCCATAATTGTATATGTGTGTAACCTGTAAACAATTATTTGAAAATAAACTATTATTATTATTATTATTATTATTATTAAATCCGTTTGATGACATTTTTAGATGATTTAATGGCATCTTAAGACAGTTTTATGGTATTAGAACATTTTTAGATATTGAATTGCATTTTTAGACACCCTTTGGGTTTTGGGGCATGTTTAATTAAATGCCATTTTAAATGGCATTTTTAATAGTTTTAGGACATTTTTAGACAATTTAATGACTTTTATTTCATGCATTTTTAAATAATGTAATGTAAACAGTTATATGGAATGTTTGGACAATTTAAGGGCATTTTAAGACAGTTGTATAACTTTTAATACAAATTAATGAGTTTTTAGACTACCCTTGGGTTTTAAAATATTTATTTAATGGTATTTTAAGGGTTTTATGGCATTTTTTTAAAAAGATTTGATAAAATTTTAAGTTTTATGGCATTTTTAGGGTTTTATGGTATTTTTAGAGGGTTTTAGGACATTTTTAGTGAATTTAATTAAAAGAGTTTTATGATGTTTTTAGAAAATTAAATGGCATTTTTAGAGGGTTGAGGACTTTTTAGGAAATTTAATGAAATTTAAGTATTATGGCGTATTTAAAAAATTGAATGGCATTTTAAGAGCTTTAAATAATTATGTCATTTTGAGGGTTTTAGGACATTTTTTAGAAAATTTAATGGCATTTTTAAAGGATTTAATGGAATTATAGCATTTTTAAGGTTTTAGGACATTTTTTAGAAAATTTAATGGCATTTTTAGAAGGTATTAATTACATTTTTATTAAATTTTAAGTTTTTAAATGGTTTTAGGACATTCTTAGATTTGATGGCATTTTAAGGGTTTTATGGCATTTTTAGAGGGTTTTAGGACACTAAAGGATTGTAATGAAAAGTTTTATGGCGTATTTAGAAAATTGAATGGCATTTTAAGAGCTTTAAATAATTATGTCATTTTGACGGTATTAGGACATTTTAAAAAAAATAATGGCATTGGGTAAATTTTTAAATGATTTAATGGAGTTTTAAAGCATTTTTAGAGGGTTTTAGGACATTCTTAGGTTTGCTGGAATTTTAAGGGTTTTAGGACATTTTTAGGCGTTTTTAAAAAATTAAATGGCTTTTTGAAAGCTTTAAAAAATTATGTCCTTTTGAGGGTTTTAGGATATTTTTTAGAAAATTTAATAACAATTTAGAACATTTTTAAAATATTTAATGGAATTTCAAGTTTTATGGCATTTTTAGAGGGTTTTAGGACATTCTTAGACTTAGACTTAGAATTTTATGAGTTTTACCTATATCATTTTTAAAAAATTAAATGGCATTTTGAGCATCTTGGAACATTTTTTAGAAGATTTAAAGGAATTTTAAGTTTTATGGCATTTTAGGGGTTTTATGACATTTGTAGAGGGTTTTAGGAAATTTTTAGGGAATTTAATGTAAATGTAAGTTTTATGGCGTTTTTAAAAAAATTAATGGCATTTTAAGAGCTTTAAATAATTAAGATATTTTGAGGGTTTTAAGACATTTTTAAGAAAATTAATGGCATTTTAAGAGTTGTATGTAGGGTTGGGAAAATTTCACTTTTTGCTTGTACTTGAAATTTCACTTGAAATTTTCATGACATTTATGAAATTTATTAAAATTTCCTAAATTTCTGAAATTTCATGAAATTTATTGAAACTTTCAATAAATTTCAATCACTTTAAGTGTAATATATTAATATTGAAATAAGCTCACTCGGGGACCATGGCAAATTGCCTCTCTTACCTCCTATCCCTCTGTGGGCCTCTGCACCAATAATATATATAGTAAATACCTATGTTTACCACAAATTTCTTGAGATTTCCTTTTAAAATATTTTTGGTAAGGTAATGAGATTGTGCCACTTTCATTTTTTTATATTTATATATATTTATTATTTTTATATATTTTAGTGAAATTTTACGAAAATTGAAGAAACTTCATGAACATTTTATGAGCCAAAGGCATTTTTTATCCGTTTTCCGATGCAATTATAGCAAAAGTAAAAGTTTAAAATTAATCATGAATTTTAAAGTTTGACTTAATTTACAAATTAAATTGGTAACTGAATTAAATCATTTAAATTAATTTATGCATATAAGTAACAATAATTACTTATAGTGTATTCAAATCCAAGCCGAACTAAACAAAAACGTCCAGACGCTTGATAACTCGTTCTTATTGGTCGATTCGGAATCTGTTGTAAATTAAAGGTCCCAGGGGAGGCCGCATGTGAAATTTATGCGAAATTTTCAGTAAATTGCGAAACTTTCAATGAAATTTCTGAAACTTTCACAGGCAATGTTGAAATTTTCGGATTGAAAATTTCATTTGAAATTTTTAAAAATTTCATTTGAAATTTTTAAAAATTTCATTTGAAAATTTCAACTGTCCCAACCCTAGTTGTATGGCATTTTTAGTGTTTTGGGAAATTTGTCGAAAATTTATTTAGACAATTTAATGGCATATTTAGGACATTTTTAGGCCGTTTGGTATATAAAAAAGTCCTGGATTTAGGTATTGTAAACAAAATTAAAAGTATATTGAACAAGCTTAAAAAAAAACATTTTTATACAAATAACACAAAACATAATACTATTTCTTCTTACTTTTTTGTGAACCCTGTGCAGGAGCCTTTCTTTTCTTTGGTTCCTCAAAAGTAATCATCCCCTCTTTATTTAATCTTTGAATTATATCACACAAGTGTTTCTCAGCCAAATTTTCATCCACGTCACAATTCATCACATCCTGCTCTTCTTCCTCCAAAAGCATGGACTTTATGTATGCCTTTTTCTTCGCATACGACAAATCGCTGTACATTGTTGCATCGTAGTCGAATTTTAGGGCTTCTATTAACTCCTTGATAAGTTTTTCCTGTTGTGGGGTGAATTTTTCCTCAACCGTGTTTAAACAGGGGTAGTTTATTTCGTTCCCGAAAGGAATGTACTTTGCCATAAACATACGCGTGTTATTCGCGAATTTCGGTATCAATTCCACGAATCGTAAAGTGGACGATTTGCTAGCTTTGTAGACACAAACCAACACTTTATTTTTGTTGACGCAGTATTGCCAAAATTGCTCAAAATACGGTAACTTTTCTTCGGGATGCACAATTAACAAATGTGGGGATTTCAGCACAAAACCGACAGGCGTAACGCGTTCCGTAACAGTATACAGAGTGTACCCAATATTAAAGTCACTTTTAGTTAACTCCTTTTTTTGAGCATCAGTAAACTCGTATGGTTTACGCCCAGCACTAAAAGTAACCTCTTTGTTTTCCTCATCGTACGTTATTTGTTTGGCAAGTGTGCCATTCTTATGCATCGCAGCATTATTCAACAACTTAAAGGATTTGATGTAGTTAAACCGTTGACACTGCAAAAACAAACCCTGATCTTTAAACGGGTAAAATTTTTGATTGAATTTAATAACTTTTTTTATAATATACGTTGACAATTTCCACTCCAAATCATCATAAGTTAAACACACTTCCGCCTCCGACGTTATGTTGCAAGCCCTGTAAAACTCATCATAGAATTTACCCAAATCGAAACTCCCAACCATCGGCAGCAAATGAAAGGTTATGTCGGAGTGTTGAAAATTCCTCGCTTCGTTAAACGCGGTAAATTGTTTCACTTTATCCCCCCGAACAGGATCCTCATCGTTGCTAATGTAAACCAAAGTTCTGTCCTTATATTTCGACGTTACATTGTTAAATTGTTTTTTGCAAAACAAATAAAACATCCCCAAATCAAACTCCCCCACTCTCATAAACGACTTTATCAAGTCGTCCAATGACTTCTCAGATAACTCCTTCAACTTCCTGGTGGTGTCAATCAAGTTATCCGTGAATTTGACCAGAACTTCCCCTTCATCCCTTACCAAAACCACCGCAAACTGACAGTCCCCCATCGTACTGCCAACCAAGGAATACGAAATCGAATGGCAGGCTTTTAAAGCCACTTTAAAAGCTTCGCTTTCTTTGAACATGCTGGCATCGCAGTCGACTGCTATCATAACAAACGACGGTTTTATTTCGAAGCCCTCTTCCGCTTCATCTTCGGAATCTTCTGCGCCGGATTCATCTGCAAAATAGGCCGTGAATCGACGCTTTTTTACGCTTTAAAACTTACATTCATCGGCCATTTTTAACCTAGGACAGAAACACAATTATTTAAAAACAACCGGTACTTTGTGTCGGTCAGCTGATGTCGGTAATGCAGCGTAACTGCAATACCGATATTTAGTCTTTTTGGTTTGTTCTGCAGTTGGTGGTTCTGATTATTTAAATATAGAAGTCATGGAGCCTACACAAGGGTATTAGAGATCCAAACAGAAAAAATAAGAGCTCTTTTGATTGATAAATAACTACAGAAGAATGGCAAACTTTCTTACTTTCTTTTTGAAAAGATAAAAAAAAATATTTTTTAAATTATCTTATTTTCTTCTTAACGGGGTTTCTGTTTATAAAGATGGTGAGTTCTCATTGGTCGATTCGGAGGATTGTGTTTACATTTAGTCCAGCTTGGATTTGAATAGACTTTAGACCCTTAAAACGTCTTTGCATTAAAGTCCGTTTCATATCGATGCGAAATGCGAAAAATCCTCCCATTGGTCCAATTGACTTGGCGGGAAAAGCGTTTCGACGTTTCGACAGATCCTGCGAATTTGCAAGATTTGAATCTAGGGCGGGAATCTTGAGATTGATCCGATATTTTGCGAAAAATCGCACTAATTTGGCGTGATGCGCATGGGTTCCGCACATTGATGCAATTAATGCAAATTAATGCAAGTATACTTATGATACCTACGCCATTTATGTTTATTTCGTTTGTATCGTAGTGTTTGTTTTGGTAGGTATGTGTTTGAAGTTTTTTTTTGTTTTATAGTCACTTTAATTAACTGGTAAAAAAAATATCCCTAAAATAGTTCGCATCTATATAGATTCGAAATGCGAATTGCGAAATACGAATATTTTTTTTCACTAGGCGATATTTTCCATGCTATTTTAGTTACTAAAATAGTAAAGTTACTTACTATACCGTACCTTCATTTGCAAGCTAACCATAGGGAAAATACATTGTAACTGGACCAGATAAGTCGCAGTCAACACAAAGCGAGAACCTTCCCAGAAATGATTTGGATGCGTCGTCGAGACATGCGTACTAAAACAAATTTTACCAGATTTACACCGCACAAAATACAAAACAATAATAAAGCATTAACTGTTACGGCGCATGCTAGCTTACTCGTCCACGCGTCCAAATCATTTCTACAACCCAAGCAACAATTTAAGTATTTGTTACGTATATGGGACTATTGAAGAAACTTTAAAGTGTTTTGAGACAGTCGCCGGTCTCTTTATATTACTCTTTCATTACTAAGTTACGACTAAAGTGGGGAACAATTATTGAGTTCCAAAAAGGTAGCAAATATGTCACTAGCTATAAACCCTGCTACTATTTGGAACGTAGCTGCTACGTTACTAGAACGTTCCAATATCGTTGCTAGAGCGTTATAATTACTTTTATTATTTGTTTTTACTTCTATATATTAACTGTCTTTGTCAAACTTATATATATTAGATTATACTATCCCTCCTTTTTTAAATGGAACCACTACGGACTTGGCTTTTCAATGTCGTCGTTTATTAAATATGTACTGGTAGTTTATAACTTCCATAATAACAATATAATGTTTAAAATTACACAGGTAAATTTATAAACCCTTTAAATTTTACTGTTGAACTTATGAATTTAGTTTTTGTAGAATAAATGCGCTTCATCAATATTTAAGTATAAACAAATTATTTATTAAGTAATGTTTATAAATAAAAAAATCTTAATATTTATTATTATTTTTTTTATTTAATTATTAATACCGTCTATTACCTACAAAATTACTATTTATTAAAAAGTAAACAACCATTTACAAACAATTAAAATAATTTATTATTTACATTACCACGTGGTACTGTACAGTAAAAAATGGCCGATAAGAAGCATTTTCCTTTGAAGTAGTTTTCGCTACTTTAAAGTTTTTTTCCACTTTACGGTTGTTTTGGTTAGTACCATAAACGTTCCAAATACTAAAATAATAACTTTTAAGTTATTAACTTTGTAGTTTTTAACTCGCAAAGGGACTACAAAGTAAAAATAATTATAATGTAATCTTTAGGTAGCAACCGAAAGTAACTGCTACAAATTAAATTTACTTGAAAGTTTTTTTTACTTATAACACCTTTTTTAAAGTTGCAAAGTCTTCTTGGGGGCAACCAAGTTTTACTTAAATGTTTATTACTTTATAGTAACAATTTAAGGAAAAATTAAGTTTCTGTTACAAAATATTGCTATTTAAAAGTTAGAATAACTTTTAAGTAAAAATTAAAGTAGCTGGTTAGTATACTATATATATACTTAACTAATTTAAAGTTATCACCACTTTGGCAATGGTTTTTGGAACCAAAAATGCTGCTTGGGAACGTTTTTCGCTTCGTGCTGACTAAGACTTATCTGGTCCAGTTACAATGTATTTTCCCTATGGTTAGCTTGCAAATGAAGGTACGGTATATGAAACCGACATAACTCTGAAACTGGAGTTCAATTTTGTTGGTGCTAGGGTACGGACCGCTCAATGAAAAGTGTGAAATATAGGTGACTCTTCGACCTAGGAGGGACAAAATTGGATTCCCGGAAAAGAAATATTCCTGTTTCTCGATAATATTCCACGATTGGTCCTTGTACAAGGTATAAGAGAAATTTGTATAAATTTATAAATTTTAAGGTTACATAACCTATTTGTGTCCACGTGTTCGGTAGACAACCGTTATCCAATGGTTTTTGGTTCTTCTGAAATCATTGGACGTTAAAACTAGTAACTGGGCAGTAAGAGCCTAATTGGCTCAAGTCCAATTCTCTCGAAAGAGAGAATAAAAAGTATAGAAGAAGAAGGAGAACTCTGAAACTATATTTATAATTAGCGTCATGTGCAAATAATATTGCTCCAAAAACGAAATCTTTCTTTACTTTTAAAAAACATCTCGTATAAAAATAATTAAATATAACATGGCACGTGCAATGTCAATTAATTTTAATGAGGGTACCCTCATTAAAATAAATTGACATAAATAAAATATTATTCTTCACAAATTTTGTATAAAACCATTATTTTTGTTAATATAATATTATAACAGTTTTTAGTCTGATTCCTTTGTTACCTATAATAGGTATTATAATAGCGTGAGCTATAAAAGCAAACTTTGTTTAATACGAAAATAATAAATTTCGCAAACATGGTGAAACATTTAATATATTAATATTAATGTATTAAATTTTTCACCGTGTTTGCGAAATTTAATATTTTAGCTTGGTGGTGCTCCTATTCATTGGTAGGTATTAATTTATTACATTATTTCCTATAATTATTATAATAAAGTTCTTCTTCTTCTCTGGTTTGATTGGCATTTCCCTTCCGGGAATTAGCCAGCTTAATCTCGTTTCTTTTAGGTACTGGAGTAAGCGAGTCTAGGATTACCTATAGCTTCTCCTTTCTTCTTTATTATATTATAAATATAAATTACAGCTTCTCGTTTTCTTCTTGGTTATTTGTTTTATTTTTCAAAATTAATGTCCATCAATATTATAATAAAGTTAAACATCTTTTCATACAAATCGCGTTTAAACTCGAGCAGTTTTGCCAATATGACCGCTTTAAAAATCCCTAGAATTCCCTATTTTTGACAGTAATTCAAGAAGACCATACAAATTCAACACCAATAAAAATGTTTATCTTTCAATAATTTTATTGTTCTAATTTTTTTCTTTGAAATACTTAAAAAGTTGGGTTTAAAACGACTAATAATTCTACAGAATTATAATTAAAAGAGAATATTTAGAAATGCCTTTTATTTTAAAGAAATTTTCGACTTATATTACCTAGGTACCATCTAAGATTCAGTTTTGAAAAGATTTTGCAATATACCTACATGATATTTTTGGAGATTTGAATATACAATGAAATTGTAATTTCAGCAAAATGCACATTTATACCTTTTAAATATTTTTTTGGAAATAAAAAATTTTAATCACAAACTTTTAAATTTAATTATACCCAAAACTATACATGTGCATATAATGGAAAAATTTCAATATGCCTATACATAAAAATATACTTGGTGCACCCTGTATTTATATAGATTATAATTATAATTTTTAAAAAATCCCAAATATAAAATATTTAATTTATTTTAGATTGTATGTATACATATAAGTACCTATATACCTATATGCTTATAGAAATGATCCATACGACGCTCCTAAACAAATAAAGTAAGTTATTAATATTTTGAAATAATATATATTACAAAGGGTCAATAAGAACGTTCGACTTTAAAAGTAAACTTGTTGGAGGAAAAATATGAAAATGGTTTTATTTGAAAGCATATTTTATGAAATTTATAATATAAACAAAATTTTATTGAAGTTCGGACATTCTTATGGCAATGCCTTTTATTACTAAAAATTAATGATTCTATTTTTTCAGCAAATTTGTACCAAACTAAAAGAGAGTTATTGGAAAAATGAACTCGATATTTGCAAACCAAAAAATCAAATGGGACAACTTTTGATGTCTAGATATATAGTATATACCCATCAAAACAAACTAAAAAATTTTCCCATTCTTCTGTAGTTAAATATATATATTCAACTACAGAAGATTGGGAACATTTCTTAGTTTGTTTTCATAAGATATAAAAAAAATTGTAAGAAATACAAATTTGAAATAAATACAGGGTGTTTCATTAATATTACAAACACGCTTCGAATGCCAACTCTGATTTTTTTTAACTTGGTGTGTCTGCTTTTAAAAATAATGGTCAGCTTTTGATGTATTTAGATTGAAATATACGCACATTTTAAAATAAAAGAATAATTAAAAATGTAAAATAAAAATAATCAGAATTTCGTTTTGGAACTATTGAACCGTAACCGTAACCGAACCTATATTATTTTTAAACGTAACTCTAGAGACCGAACCCTTTAAATTTAGAACGTTTTTTTAGGTTATTTTCGGTTTTTTCTTAATTTCTTTTTGCAAAAATTTAAAAATATATTTTGTTTTGTTAAAATTAGTTTTTGCAAAAAAATATTTGAGCACGGGCTAAATCTATAAATTATACACTCTAGCACAAGTATTGTTAGCCTTCCTGCTGTGTT